TCTGTCGAGTGAGGCCCCTATGACCTCCGTTAAAAGATGAACAATTCTTTCATCCATCCCACCCCAGCCAGATAGGGGTACACCGTGAAGGGCGGCACTGATGTCTGAGGACATTCATGCCGTCATTCCATCAACACTCACCATCAGTCATGACCGATTTGTCCCTATAACAAACATCAGTCTAAAGGGTAAGGGAGACAGGCTCCAACCTATCCGAAACCAAGATGGCTGTCACCATTTTGACACGTCTCCTGTGATTTCGATCCGTATACTATCTCTTTCAAAGATAAATCATCTAGTGTTGCCAATCTCTTGGCGTGAAATGTTTCGCATTGTGTGCGACTGTTTCAAAATTTACAATATTCTATGAAATGTTCCTTTTATCGACATAATCTGTTACTAATTTGTGTCCAGCAGGATAAACACTGATATAAACCAGTTTGCACAAGCCCGCGGTAAAGATAAACGTGTTGACGGCCTTTAAATAACGGCACATGTATATTAAAAAGATGGGGATTTGGAAAAGAACAGTTGTATCTATAACCTCAAAGGCACATATTTCTTTCAAGTTTTCTATTTATTCCTTGTATCGACTGATCAAAAATTCTACCGTGTAGAATGAACCTTTTATGAATTCAGTTTTAATCATTGAGGAAATAGAAAACTGTGAAAGAATCATTCATGGACTTGTATAGATAATAAATTGTATGCCACGTATAAATGCGCGTCCAATAGACAGTTTTATTGATTGATCAATTAGTTTGACACGAGATTCATCACGCAATCTTTTCTTGTGCTTATTAATGCAAACACATCATAAGTGTATGATTTCGCGGTTAGATAAATCGGCATCTTCTTATTTCATTGAATTATAAGCTTCTATTAGAATTGTTGAATGGTCAGGAATTTGTGATATAAGGAATGGAGTAAGTTGTTATTTACACTATGTTGAAACAACAACTATTTGTAATAATAAACAGTACTTTGTCACATTTATTCCACATTCAAGTCGCATAGAAATATTCAATCGGCATCAAACATTACATGGAAATTGCCTTCGAGCAACCTGATCTGCTTCAAACCACATAATAAACAGATAATGCCAAGGTCGGCAGTATCATAAATAGCATAATTCTTATGATAGGTGTCATCTCCAAATAATGTATTTTTTTTCTTTGCAGTTAACAAAAGAAGGATTTTCTTGCAATGGCCGAGGAGCGGGATATTATGCTGATGTAACCACAGGCTGTCAGGTAGGCCCATCAAAACTATGTTTTTGTATCTATTGCTCGCGACTTCATTTCGAAAGTTTTTCCAGATTTTCTATAAGCAAAAAAATCTCATGTATTACATCATTGATTTATGAAAAAATAGTTGAAAATATACTCAAACAAAGATTCAACCAAATCAAGTGAACAGTATTTTTATATTGGCGAGCTTCTTCGAATAATAATAGTAATAATGATAATAATGAAGTCTCTATTTACTTGACGAAGTTTAGTATGGCTTATCTTCCACTCTACCAAGAAAAACCAATTGACAACAATTGACAACGTATTCGTCTTTTTTACAGAATTTTAAGGATGTTGTAATCTCAAAGTGTTTATTGTGATCATTTCTCTTCATTTGAAATTGGAAACTTTCACGTTATTGGTATTTGTTTACGATGGGTAAATTTGCAAATGAACCCTCAATAGAAATCCTATACTTCTATTGTTAACTTTCTCGAGACCGTCTATTTTATCATTTTTCTACATGACTATATTATTTGGGTTCGAATATCGAGATTTATAAAGTTAACGTGACATTTCTCTGCCTTCCTGTCTTTTTTGAGATTTTGGGATTGGACCAAGTGAATTTGTTAAGTTGATTAATTAGGGTATCCAGAACTATGTTCCAGAGAGTGGGTGACAAAACCTCTCCCTGTGGACATCCCCTCATGACCAGTCCTTCTGTTCACATACCATTCATCCAGAAATGGGCCTCATCGCTGAAGATGATTATTTGATTAAAATTAGGGTCAGTTGCCAACTGCTTCAGAGCCCATTCAGCCGTTGTCTATGATCGTTTATCTTCAGTTCCTGGATCAGTTGCAGGCAGGGCCGTAGCGAAAACAAAAACCAGGGGGGGAGGAAATCCATATTTTCCTAACCCCACCAGCAAAATTTACCAACTTTCGAAAAAATTAAAGCCGAAGGATTAGTTACTACTATAATATATTAATTTTCTTACTTGGCTATTCAAAGATTGGCTGAATGCTTATGTTAGGGTATGCACAAACAAAAATGAATTTTGGTAATTATAAAAATAATAATGGGAAATATTCTACTTTGGACCCAGGTCCTTGGTCTTTTACCATATCCACCATGTATAGAAATATTCAATACAAATGAAAGGAAACAACACTTAAATAATATTGTGCTTATTGTTTTCTACTATTACTTTTTTATCTTCACGACCCGAAATTTCCCAACTTTTCCAAGTCGAAAAAACAACGAAAAGTTGGGAATTTTGTAAAATTGTCACTTCAAAATTTGTGGACTGTTCAGGGCTCTGTTACGCCAGTGACGCAAAGTACGAAAATCGCATTTACAAAATGTCAAAGTTAGGTACTTTTTAGGTGCCGAAGTCAAAAATTAGGTGCTCTGTAACTTACACCGCAACTCAATACTCAAAGTTGCGTTGCTAGCATTATGTAAATCAAGCAACACAATGAAAATAATAATGAAATAATGAATGTTAAGAAAACACTATTAGGTGCTTATTAAGTGCTAAACAGTAAGGATAGTAAAATTTTCTAATTAATAAACAACAGATCTAAGAATCAAGTCTCTAGAAAACGAGGACGAATGCTCAATCAGGTATAAACTAAGCATGGTAATAAAGTGCTAATTAGGTGCTTGCAAGAAATTAAGATGAAAACGACCGTAAATAAGCGGAAAAAAATTCGGGATACCTGATTTGAGAAAAAAAATTAACAATATACAATAAAGTCTTGAAATGCTCGTAAACTCATGCATAGACAATCAAAATAAAGTGCTAATTAAGTGCTCACTAGATATTTATAGTAAACCTAGATTCCATAATGGTTATTGGGCTCATGGAGCTGAAAACCACAGCAAGTTGCAATATTTGAAGCAACAATACATCTCATTACTGCTGCAATGGATCAATATTTTTAAGTTTTTTTCACTAATTAAAGAAATTTATAAATTCAGTGACCTCCATAAAGAGTTGAGATATCGAGCTGCACTTCTGAAAGAATTTTTTTAACATTCTGAAAATATTTCTAGACGGTAAGTGAAATACTGTTTTCATTGGATCACTCTATTCAATATAGACGAACCAGTTAAAAGTCATCTTGCAAACGCCCGCAAATAAAAAATAATATGTCTTTAAAATAAGAAAGTTATGACTTTCTTTCCAATTGTTTTTTGTAAAAATGAGGATCAAGACGTTATTTTATTCTATTATTTACATATAAATATCTAATGAGCACCTAATTAGCACTTTCTTCTCATGCCCTTATTTATTGAGGAACGTACTGTGAGAAATCAGTCCATCAGGCATAGTGGTTTTCAGATCCATAAGCCCCATAGGCATTATGGAATCTTGGTTTACTATAAATATCTAATGAGCACCTAATCAGCACTTTATTCTCTTGCCCTAATTTATTGAGAAACGTACTATAAAAACTCAGTACATCAGTCATGGTGATGAAGAGATTAATAGAGATAAGAATGATGAACAACTCAATTAGAATAGTATTGTGCCCGTAGATATTGAGATAAGGACCGTTTGTAGAGTTGAAGGGTGTTACTTTGTTTAATTTCATTAGGAAGCTTGTTATAGTCCAAGAATCCTCTGTGAAAAATAGAATTCATTGTTCTTGCAAGGTTACTTCGTGGGACAACCAAGTCATCTCTCTCTCCCTCTTGTATCGTATTTGTGTATCTGATGGTTATATGTAATAAACTCATTGAAGTAATATGGTGCTTTTCCAGTGAGTATTTTGGATATGAATCTTTAGTTTCGCCGCAAATCTCAATATTAATGGAGTTGATATCAATTAAGTTATATTTATATTGTGTTGTCAATATCATAGCTTTCGTTTTAGTGGTATTCAGTTTGAGTTTGTTTATGTACAAGAACTTCGCCACGTTTTCAAGAGTCAAATTAATTTTGCGTACAGCATTATGAATATCAGAATCGCTTGCTGTAATGAGAGTATCATCTGCGAAGGGGTTGATGAATTTACAGTCACTAATAAAATGTATGTCATTCAAATAAAGTATGAATAAAACAAGGCCAAGTACACTCCCTTGGGGGACCCCGGTATCAATTGCTTTTTGGCCTGATAGGACGTTGTTTATTTTAGAACATTGAGATATGTTGAGTAAACAACTTCTGAACCATAGCAACACCCTACCAGTTATTCCATAGTACTCTAATTTTGATAGCAAAATAGATAGTTTCGAACGCTCTTTTAAAATCCAAAAATACTGCTACTGCATAATTATTGTCATCAATTGACAGTTTCCATTTAGACAAGGTGAGTTGAGGAGCAGTTTCACATGAGTGTTGTGATCTTAAACCTGATTGATACACCATCAAAAGGTTGTTGTCTTCGATATATGTGCACTATTTGGTTATAAGCAGCTAACTCTAATACTTTTTCTAAAGGAGGCACAGCGTTTATGGGACGAAAGTTAAAGGCTTCATTTGCGTTGTAAACTTTAGGCACAGGAACAACTGTACTAATTTTGAGTTGATCTGGAAAATGCCCATTTATCAAAGAAGTATTGACGAAATCAAGAAGTATGTAACCTAGTACCGAGAACATACTCTTGAGAACCTTGTTATTCATTATATTAGTGTTACACTTGTTATCCAAACATGAAATAATTTTTTTCTATCTTCACGGTCCAAAATTTCCCAACTTTTTCCCAACTTTACCCAAGTCGAAAAAGCAGGGAGGGAGGCTCCCCCCATCCCCCTCCATGGCAGCGGCCCTGGTTGCAGGTCCAAGTCACGACGCGAAATTCGCCAAGTTGTCTGCGAAAAGCCGAGTTTTTGTGAGCGACTTGAAATTGACTGCAGCTCTTACGTTTCGTTGTGGAACAGGTGTTGGTTATTCATTTACTGTACCAGTGGACTCAAATTTATCCGCCACATTGCGAATGGTCCTCTTGGTAGGACGGTTATGGCGACAGTAAAATGGGCAAAGCGCGCGGTACGTTGCACGTGTTGATTAATGCTATATCCGTCAGTGGTGATTTGTCAAAACAGACTGAACAAATGAGAACTAATTTGACAGATGTAGCTTCAACAAGATGGCCGTTATCAGCTGTCAAAGGTCGGAAGTGCCTGTTGGAAGACCGTATAGTTTTGAGATCATCATCATTCTATCTCATTCTATCTATCTTCTATCTATCTATCTATCTATCTTCATTCTTTTCGAATTGTTCTAGGTTAAGCTCAAACAATATTATAAGTCCGACCCAAAGTAAAGTAAGAAAACGATTTGAAAGGAAAAAAAGATTTAGAAACTTTTAAAAAATAACGAAATTATCGGGAAATGTTTCGTTTGTATTAGGAAAGATTATAATAAATCTTGGCAGTGACAGTGATCATAATTATATGTTATGCGATTTTAAATATGATTGATTGAATTTTTCAATGAATGGTCGAAAACGAACAGTTACTCCCAACTGATGATTATAAATATAGAATTTGAATTGACAGTGGCAATGATGGTGATTATATAATGAGTTTGTTCACTTTGCTAGCACGCACTGATTGCTGATTATAATAATGAACAGGTGTATTATATTTTTCATAAATTTAGTTTATTTCATCCACCCAATAAGTGTTTCCATTTCACTTCTATTTATAGCTGATTTCAGATTGAAAAAATCATTACTTGTCATTTACTTATTCTTTTCTCATTTCATTCAGAAAAAAATAATATATTTTTATCACATTTCTCCTTCAATTTTCTGAGAAAAAAATGAAACCAATTTCTATACAGGCAACATCACCTCACACATAACCAAACTTATTCAGATTTCAATTCAGGTGAAAAAACTGGACATTCCAGAAAATAGATATTCTATCATTTGATATTCTCTGTAGAATTATGTTTTTTTTTCTTTCAAATTCAACAATTAGTTCATAAAAACTCGTACCAATATTTATGAAACGAGCTATTAAACAATCATAGAGAACAACGGTATTTCTTTCTTATTTATTGAGATCAGTGAGGTTTTAGATGATATGGACTTCAGTACTAGACAAAAGAAGTCTGGCAATATTACTGGCTGCCCAAATGGCCTGATTTATCACCACTTTACTTTTTTATGCGGTCATTTGAAGCAAAAGTTCATAAAAGTAGGTCATTTACTGACCTTTATTTTGGAAAATACATTTCGGGAGTATGGTACAAATTCAAGACTCCGAATTAAAAGAGGCAATCGATTAATTATCATCTAAAAATAGACTCTACGTAATTTCTGTACACACTGTATGTAGTTGTCACATCCAAAGACTAACCATCAGCACGTAACTTACACCATGACAATGAAAAATCCATTTGTTACACTTTCAACATGAAAATAAAATCATTTCGTGATCGGACATATTTTTTATAGTCATGATTTAGAAAGGTATTAATGCATTTGTGCTAATCCATTCTCAGTCTCAAAACGTGTATGAGTCAAGAGTAAATGCGAAAAAAAATGAATTCAATTATTATTTGTGTTATATTACTCTTTCAATATAACTTCATATACGTTGATAATCGATCATTGATTAGATCTCATAAAAAAATAGACTAATGCTGAACATACACGTGATTCGTAGAAAACTATCACATCCAATTTACAACTTTTTCTTTCAGAAATTTTCTATGAAAGTATACGTATAAGACGCATGAACTACAATATGCTGTTGTTCGAATCAAAGAGTTATAAGAGTGAAAATAACTTCAATTATTACTGTCGTTTTTCAGGAAAGTATTGGTTTGTTTCAAAAGTTTCATGAGTCTACAGTCTACAGTGAATACTTATTGAATTTCGAAATAAGCACCATTTAAATCAGTGTACTCTTGCCAACGAGGTTAGGTTAGGTTAGGTTAGGTTACGTTAGGTTAGGTTAGGTAAGGTTAGGTTAGGTTAGGTTAGGTTAGGTTAGGTTAGGTTAGGTTAGGTTAGGTCAAAAGTGAGTGGGCCTAATCGTCCCTTCACCGCAACCCGTAAGGGTTTGTTGTGGCTCACGCTCATTCAAACTCGACGAAATAAACCCAACTTCTTCACGAAGCCGATTAGTTTATATGGTGAGTGATCTTTCAGGACAGATAGTAGAGGTGTGGTTCTACCAAACTCTGAAAACCTGATTCGATCCTTAGCGGGGCAGACACAAAGTATATGCTCTGCTGTTTCATCATTTTCCAAACAGAGGCGAGACACACTATGTTCCGACAGTCCGAGTCTCTGCATATGATGATTCAGAAGACAGTGACCTGTGAGAAGGCCTGTTAGACATCGTAGTTCATCCCCACTGTAGTCCAACAACTGTTTGGTTTCAAGCTTCGAAGGGTGAATGAACGCTTCGGAGTAAGCCAATCCTGGAAGATTTTGCCAGAAGTCAATAAATCTTCTTGCCATCCAGGTGTTCAATGTCTGTTTGGCAAAACCTAGAGCAGTGCCAATGACAAGTTCTGGTCCGATGAAGCTACTTGCAGCACCAACCTTTGCAAGGGAGTCAGCAGCCTCATTACCTTCCAGGCCAGTATGGCCAGGAATCCAGACCAGAGACGATTTGTTAAGTATTCCTATTGAGGAGAGTCGTTTTTGGGAATTTGCTACCGACTTAGACGTTGCTCTGTAGGAGCCAAGAGCTTTCAACGCCGCTTGACTGTTCGAAAAAAATGTTATTGGCTTGTGTGTGAGGTTGGATTGTACTAATCTCTCCGCACACAATTCAATAGCATAGATTTCCGCTTGAAATACAGTCGCAGATATCTCTGTCCTGAGACTGCAACTGATAACACCTGCACCAGAGCCCGAAGGTGTTTTGATCCATCTGTGAACAACTATCTGCTATTGAAATTTCCTTCTCTCTGAGGATCCAATCCTCTCCACTCGAGAAAAGTACTGTATAAGGCAGTTCGTAGTTGACAGTTGAAGGCATAATGTCAAAGGTCATTCCCAGAATGCTGTGACTTCCAGTGTCAACCACCTCCCAAGTTTTACCACAAATCCTTCTGGATTAATGTAGAACTTTTTCCAAATGAGCGTTCCAGGTGTGTTTTTTATCAAGGACAATGCCAAGATATTTCACATTCGTTCCAAATGGAAAGGAAAAGTGGCGTTAGATTGTCCAATTTTCTTCTCCTGGTGAAGGGAATTATCACAGTTTTGCTGGAGTTGACAGACATCTTTCTCTGGCGCCAACTGTGAACCACATCCATCGTACTTTGGAGGCTATTACACGCTACCCTTCCCGACGTGGACCTTGCCAAGATGACGAGGTCATCTGCATAAGCTTGCAGATCTACTTCTCTTCTATCGAGGGCATCAAGCAGACTATACATCAGGAGTGTATCCGTCTAGAATTATCTCAAGTTCTTTCAACAGGAAGGATTTGAGGCTGATTGGTCGTAACGATTTGGGGTGTGGGTCTTTCCTACACACTTTAGCTATATATATCACCAGACCAGCTCTGTATGAATGTCTGAGGACATTCATGCCGTCATTCCATCAACACTCACCATCAGTCATGACCGATTTGTCCCTCTAACAAACATCAGTCTAAAGGGTAAGGGAGACAGGCTCCAACCTCTCCGAAACCAAGATGGCTGTCACCATTTTGACACGTCTCCTGTGATTTCGATCAGTATACTATCTCTTTCAAAGATAAATCATCTAGTGTTGCCAATCTCTTGGCGTGAAATGTTTCGCATTGTGTGCGACTGTTTCAAAATTTACAATATTCTATGAAATGTTCCTTTTATCGACATAATCTGTTACTAATTTGTGTCCAGCAGGATAAACACTGATATAAACCAGTTTGCACAAGCCCGCGGTAAAGATAAACGTGTTGACGGCCTTTAAATAACGGCACATGTATATTAAAAAGATGGGGATTTGGAAAAGAACAGTTGTATCTATAACCTCAAAGGCACATATTTCTTTCAAGTTTTCTATTTATTCCTTGTATCGACTGATCAAAAATTCTACCGTGTAGAATGAACCTTTTATGAATTCAGTTTTAATCATTGAGGAAATAGAAAACTGTGAAAGAATCATTCATGGACTTGTATAGATAATAAATTGTATGCCACGTATAAATGCGCGTCCAATAGACAGTTTTATTGATTGATCAATTAGTTTGACACGAGATTCATCACGCAATCTTTTCTTGTGCTTATTAATGCAAACACATCATGGGTGTATGATTTCGCGGTTAGATAAATCGGCATCTTCTTATTTCATTGAATTATAAGCTTCCATTAGAATTGTTGAATGGTCAGGAATTTGTGGCATAAAAAAGAATGGAGTAAGTTGTTATTTACACTATGTTGAAACAACAACTATTTGTAATAATAAACAGTACTTTGTCACATTTATTCCACATTCAAGTCGCATAGAAATATTCAATCGGCATCAAACATTACATGGAAATTGCCTTCGAGCAACCTGATCTGCTTCAAACCACATAATAAACAGATAATGCCAAGGTCGGCAGTATCATAAATAGCATAATTCTTATGATAGGTGTCATCTCCAAATAATGAATTTTTTTTCTTTGCAGTTAACAAAAGAAGGATTTTCTTGCAATGGCCGAGGAGCGGGATATTATGCTGATGTAACCACAGGCTGTCAGGTAGGCCCATCAAAACTATGTTTTTGTATCTATTGCTCGCGACTTCATTTCGAAAGTTTTTCCAGATTTTCTATAAGCAAAAAAATCTCATGTATTACATCATTGATTTATGAAAAAATAGTTGAAAATATACTCGAACAAAGATTCAACCAAATCAAGTGAACAGTATTTTTATATTGGCGAGCTTCTTCGAATAATAATAGTAATAATGATAATAATGAAGTCTCTATTTACTTGACAAAGTTTAGTATGGCTTCTCTTCCACTCTACCAAGAAAAACCAATTGACAACAATTGACAACGTATTCGTCTTTTTTACAGAATTTTAAGGATGTTGTAATCTCAAAGTGTTTATTGTGATCATTTCTCTTCATTTGAAATTGGAAACTTTCACGTTATTGGTATTTGTTTACGATGGGTAAATTTGCAAATGAACCCTCAATAGAAATCCTATACTTCTATTGTTAACTTTCTCGAGACCGTCTATTTTATCATTTTTCTACATGACTATATTATTTGGGTTCGAATATCGAGATTTATAAAGTTAACGTGACATTTCTCTGCCTTCCTGTCTTTTTTGAGATTTTGGGATTGGACCAAGTGAGAATAAATTTCAGTCTACAACAAGACATATTCAGATATTCAGTTCATTCTTTTTCAAGTACCGTAGAAATATCTTGTTGCAAGACGTACCGTCTTACCAGATACCATTAACAATATCACTCTCGTCTAAGTTTTTCACCACACCTTTTTTTATTTTTATACATTAAGGCTTATACTTTAAACTCATAGTAAATAAAAAATTCATTAAATTTATCTGGTCAAAAATGAATGGTGAAATCTAATTACTTTTTTTTATTGGAAAATTTAGATTAAATCATTAATTAAAAAACATACATGGTCGGTTAAATTGGGCAGAAGTTTCCTATTTTCAGGAACTAGAATATCTTTCCAGACTGAGAATATCCGTGGTTGTCTTGAAAATATTCGCCAAAAACTAGAATTATCGAATTTCGTTGTTTGACTCAGCCACCTTCATTTCGAATGATATAAAAAAGGGCAGAGGAACGTTCAATACTGTTTCACATTTGTTATGATCTGATATGAACCAATTTGCAATGTGACTTTCCGTTCATCAAATTTCATCATCAACTTTATATTTTTGAATACGGACCTGTATTGTAATACATAGCTGAATTTATTATTACAGTGTCTACAAAAATTGATTTGAAAAAATAAAGTTCATAACGAAATCTCATGAAAGAAACGTCGCATTGCTAATTGGTTCATATCAGATTGAAACAAATATGAAATAGTATTGAAAGTTAATACTTTCGATCTGAAAAGAGATTATTCTACTTTCCCAAAATAGGAAACTTTGACCAATTCCACCGACCTTGTAGGTCTTACTGTTTTCGAGATGACAATAGTGGAATCAGCTGAAAAATGGCCTGTATATACAGATAATAGCGTTTCAGACTGTCTACTGAAAATATTTTGAATATACTGACTTCTTATTTGATGAAAATCAATAACAGTTACCTCCTCAGTTGGGCTGGTACTGCACACTTCTTAACAATGCAATTTATACAAATTAGCGACTTCAATAGCGACCAATACTGGTAAACAGGTAGTTTCAAGCACAGTTCACAGTTCACCAATTTCCAGGGACTGCAGCAGGTTTATATTTTGGTAGTGTTTCTTCCTGTGGATGATCAAATCCTGTGGCCACTTGATGTTATGTTGATTAGTTCAAACATGCTCTGCTATTCTCGCTTTGCGGTTTCTCCTCGCTGTGTTGGAGAATACGGATATTCAATGGCCTCTTAGTTTCACCGATATAGGATTTGCCGCACTCATAGGGAATCCGGTAAATGCAATTCTTGTAATCGCAGTCCGCGTTTGGTAGCCTGGTTTCGTGAGGCTGCTACAGATGGTGTTTTCAGATCTGAAGCAGGTTCTGATGTTATACTTGGACCTAATCCTTCTTATCCTTTCTGACAACCCTCTGATGTAGGGTACAAGCACTGGTTGTGACGCCTTTTTTTCCTTGTGAAGTTCTTACTGTGTTCCAGCCAAAGTATGTTCCACCATCACTTTGGAGTAACCATTCTGTTGAAGATATTTTCTGATTGTGCCTAGTTCGTTCTCAAGATCTTCTCTGTCCCGTGTGAGTGGGTTTTTAGTATATAGCACTTAGTGGCACTTAGTGTCGGTCCTCTTCACCAATATATCTAAAAATGGCAATTCGTTGTGGACTTTCTTCTCTATTGTGGAGGTGGTGGAAAGTTTTATGATGTGCTTCAGGAAGGTGTCTAGTTTTGTATTTCCATGATTCTATACTATGAAGGTATCATCAACGTATCTAAACCAGACGATGGGCTTCTTCAATGGCCAGAGTTTCAACTAGTGAGTTTCAACTAGTGAAATTGGCGATTCCATTGGTAGTCCCTCATTTTGCGTGGGAAATTCGTCCTACAGTTGGAAATAGCAGTTCCGTACACAGCATTCTAGTAGTTCCATGAACGTAAGTTTGTTATCTTTCAGGTCCTTGTCTTCAGATAGCTTCAGATAGTCTATATGATGGAAATTGGTCATTAATATTACGTACACTACTGAAAGTGATATCTATTATTTTATTTTAAAATTGACATGACTTTTTTTGAGAAGCCGGTTGAATTAAATCAAACTCTAAATGGTAAGTGAAGTGTTTGTAATTAGTTCGAACAAATGTACAGGCAAAACTTCCAAAATTTGTTGTTTCGTGTTCAATTGCGTCAATAGAGATCCCAAAAACATTTTTTTCCAACATACTTCATGTACAGATAACGATCAGCTACACTTATATGATAAATTTCGAAATGATTAAATTATTATTCAGTTTCTTTGGCTTCAACACCCAAAAACCTTTTCAATAATTGATATTTAGTATTTGTAAAAAAGTTGCATTATAAAGAGATTGTTGAAATAAGTTGATCACAATGAAGTATTTTGAAGTGATAATATGCATTTCTCAATAAGGTCAATGAAGTCAAAGGTATCTATTTACATTTGAAATGAGTTTTGAAACAGCTTTAAACAATTTCTGTGTAATGTCAATAAGATCAAGAAGATATATTGGTTTCGACAGTATAAAACAACCGACGTTTCGAGGACATATTTTTCTCTTCTTCAGGGCTATAAAGAATAGGAACATATATTTGCAAAACTTCAGAAATATTCACAAATGAATATAAATCTCACGGAGCATTTCGAAATAATTCACCTTAAGCGTTACAACGGTACAAGCCTGATACTTTGTCAGTATATGAATATATTTATATCGTAATAGTACGTAATACATGCAGAGTTGAAATAAATACAAAAACAAACAAGACAATAAAATAAAGGTGTTGCTCGAAGAGAGATCATTCAATTAAATGACCACCAACAGATGATGAACATTTTTTCTTGAAAAACAGCTCCGGATTACCCATTTAGCAGAAGGCTCCACCTGTTCCCAAAAAAAACTACAAATAAAAAATATACAGGGTTTCACGTATAGTCAGTGGACATACTTGAAGACTGGCTAAAAATCAAATCATCTAAAAGAACAACTAGTTCAGGCCAGTCTCAACACCCTACACAGTACGTTAATGGACTGACACCTATCAGAAAATCGGATATAATCCAACGCCCTTCGTGGTATTAGCCAGGGGAGTAGTTGTTTTCTGATAGGTGTCAGTCCATTAACCTACTGTGGAGGGTGTTGAGACTGACCTCAACGAATAGCTCTTTTAGATGATTTGATATACAGGGTGTTTACTAAACAAGCGGCAAAAAATTAAGGGACTATTCCTTGGACTTGGATTTTTGATAGGGCCCTTTGTTTCGAAGATACGGGGCGAAAAAAAATTTTGGTAAATTATCAACGTAGCCGAAACAAAAGTTTAGCGAAGTACCAAGTAATACAAAATCTAACAATTCCGTTGGTGCTCATCAACAACATTCCGATTAATACAAACGGCTGCAGACATTCAATTCGAATAGTATGTCTCGTAAGTGATCATGGTGTTTTTGAAAGCGTTCTTTGTTTAAATTACAAGTAATTTTTGGTAATTGTTATTGTCGAAATTCTTCTTGGCTCCGTATCTTCTAGCTCCACTCCGATTCTAGCCTCGACCAGATATTTTTCTCGAGAGAATTTACCTGATTGAAGCTGGGATGATTCTGCAACCGTGTTAGGAAATTAATCAATTGAAAAGCTCAGGATATAGCATGCAAATATATAAGTGTATGTTTTTGAAGTAGAATATACTTGTATTGTATTGATTAATTAATGAAGAAAAGAGAAATGAAACTTTCTACGTTTTATACCACTTTTATTTGTAACTAACGTTACTGCAGTTACTTATACAATAGAAAAGTTTGAAAATGTCCTTATAGGATGAATCTGCAGTAACGTTAGTTACCAATAAAAGTGGTAAAAAACATAGAAAGTTTAACTTGTCTTTTCTTCATTATGATTTCCTACCTCGTAGTAACGGCTACATCCATCAATGAATTGATTAATTAATCATCATCTTCATCTTCATCACGAACGAGTTTCTGTAATCAGCTGTGATGGCGTCATGACAACAGAGTGGGGACGGAGTGAGAGAATAATAGATAGAGAAAAAGTGAAAAAGGAATAGAAACGTGGAGAGGGAAATATAGGCATCACGCAGTTGCACGCATTAAACTTTCTCGACGAATTTTTGCTATTTCGGCTTGCGGAAATCGTCAGATTATATATTTTTCGATATCCTTGAATTATTTCCTTAAAAATAAAAAAAAATTAGCTACGCTCGAGAATGTCGAGATGGCGTTTTTTTACAACTTTGCTGCCGTCTCCTTTCTTTACGTCACTCTCAAATTGTCAGATTACTGGAATACACACTTTTTATACTGTAATTAACTCAATTCACCTTAATCTGACGCGCTCGATGATAAATTTATTTTTACTTATCTGATCCTTTATCCTTTACGATCGGCCTTATATATGGGGCTCATATTTGGTGGAGGTACTCAACCGGGTACAAGGTACCCCCCTGTATATTAATCTGCCGCGCTCCAGTAAATCCCGAAATCCCCGCTTGGGTTCCCCTATTATTACGGTGAATCGGCATTTATCAAAAACATGTGCGTAGAGTGCTATAGTGCATTTAAAAGCGTTCGAGATGTGGTGGAAAATTTGCCTAGCTCTGGTCGGCCATTAACATCCTCAATTGGGCTCAACATTGCTAAAGTAAAAGAAATGGTGACTGAAAAATCGTCGTTTGAGTCTGAGAGAGATAGCCACTGAAATTTCTACGTCTCACGAATCAGTTGGTAATATTTCAAACGATGTTCAGTAATAAAACGCATTGCCACTCAACTAGTGCCGAAAAACCTGAATGTTCTGCAAAAACTCAATCGCGTAAAGTTCGCCGAAAACATGTTAGAACGAGTCTATCCCGACCCCACATTCATAAAACGTATTGTAACTGATGATGAGACAGGGTTTATGAATTTGATATGCAAACCAATCAGCGAGTTTCGGAATGGCGCTTCCCAACTGAGCCAAAACCGAAAAAAACACCTTAAAATTGATCAAAAGTGAAGGTGATAATATCAATAGTATTTTCGATTATCATGGTGTTGTGCACTCGGAATTCTTAACAAAAGGTGAGACAGTAAATAAAGAATATTACCTGAGCGTTATGCGACATTTGAGAGCGAATTGGATGAAAAAGAGCAGATGTTTAGAAGAAAGCCCATGGATTTCGCATCACGATAACGTATCATCTCACAAGGCTATCACTGTGACCGAGAGTCTGGTCAAAACTCAACCAATTTCATGGAACAGCCACCGCACTCACCTGAAATGGCTCCGGCCGATTTTTTTTTCCAAAACTCAAATTACAACTTCGATGCACCCGTTTTCTGTCGACAGATGCGTACAAGAGAATTCATCGCGAGTACTGAAATAAATTCCAAAAAAAATGCGTTTAAAAATGTTTTGACAAACGCTGCCGATATAATAATAATAATACTTTTTATTCCTTCTAGATCATACAATTATGGTGTAGGAAACGTCAAATACAAGTATATTTATGACAACAATATGCAGAATAAAATATAACGGAGTTACATCCAGTGAAAAACAATAAATATATATATACATTCGAATACACATGTCATAGTCATAGTCATTTTCATGAATACACATAAATAATACACACATTATGTACGGCCACTTTTATAGAAGTCTTCCACTGAATAAATAGTCCGATCAATTAAAAACTCTGAGGTTCATTTTGAACTTTTTGATATCGGAGAAATTTTTTAGAGTACTAGGTAGACAATTGAAAAGTCCTGCTCCAGCCAAAAAGGGAGACTTTTCATAGGTTGAAGTCCTATATTGTTTAATTTTAATTTAATATCCTGATCTTGTGGGATATCGATGGATTTGTATTCATTCATATTTTTCCACATATAGACCAAACAATCATAGATATAAATTGCTGGGAAAGTCAAAATTTTATTTTGTTCAAATGAGGGCCTACATGATTCGGTTCTATCTAGATTAAAAATTGGGCGAAGAATTCTTTTTTGAGCTATAGAAACACGATCCGCTCCAATATAAGTTATAAATAAGTAGGTCTGTTTAAATATGTCTCTTTAAATCAGTTTTTCCGTTAATCAGCTGTCGCCCCCATACGAACGATAACTCTCAGAAGTTGAGAAACTTGTGCGAGCTAAGGACTAACGAGGTGTCACCTTTTAACGTGTGATTCCTAACATGGTTGCAGAATCATCCCAGCTCCAACCAGATAAATTCTCTCGATAAAAATATCTGGTCAAGGCAGGAATCGAACCCACGGTCATTCCGCATATAGACCAAACAATCATAGATATAAATTGCTGGGAAAGTCAAAATTTAATTTTGTTTAAATGAGGGCCTACATGATTCGGTTCTATCTAGATTAAAAATTAGGTGAAGAATTCTTTTCTGAGCTATACAAACACAATCCGCACGAATTAAGGATATAAATAAGTAGGTCTGTTCAAATATGTCTGTTTAAATCAGTTTTTCCGTTAATCAGCTATCGCCCCCATACGAACGACAACTCTCAGAAGTTGAGAAACTTGTGCGAGCTAAGGACTAACGAGGTCTCACCTTTTAACGTGTGATTCCTAACATGGTTGCAGAATCATCCCAGTTCCAACCAGATAAATTCTCTCGATAAAAATATCTGGTCAAGGCAGGAATCGAACCCACGGTCTTCCGATCGTAAGTCGGGCGCGCTACCACCGCGGCCAATTCCACAACATACTCGGAACAATTCCCTGCTTGTCCAAGTATTGAAATTTTCTTTTGAAATTCACTGTAGGATGCTGTACATATTTTTTTTCAATATCATACCATCAATGCAGTTCTCTAAAAAAAATAGCAAATTATTGGTTTCAAGGTTCCAATTTCCAAAAAGATATCGGACACTAAGTAGTCAATATAAGCTAATGTGATGAAGGCAATTTTTTGTGGTTTCATCACCTAAACAAGTTTTGGATGATATTTAAATAACAAGGATCAAAAAGTAAAGTACCGTGATCATTTCTATAAACTTGTTTATACTATGAATGAAAAGGAACAGTTATGATGGGTATAGCGTGAAATAAAATACCAATTAGCCAAGCGACTAACACTGTTACAGATCAAGCTTATCATCAAGTGTACTTGGAATAGATACTTCCCATAAAGTATTCAACCTCGTAAGATGTACAAAAAAGTTGTTCAATTGTATGAGTTTCTCATCCAAATGACGTGAAAGATGGTTCAGGTAATAAACATATGGTGCATTTTGCTTAGATGTGCTGGCTAGCTAGTACTGTCACCAAAAAACACAAGTCTCTGGGTGTGAAGATCACAAATTGCAGATAATGATCTTGTTCAACAAGAAAAGGATTGAAAAACTTGTTGAGAGCACCATTGTTGATCAGATCGATTGTTTTTTCAGCTGTACGATTTTGTAATTAAGTTAATTGTGGTTGACAATTTTTCTTGGTGAATGTTAGGCACAGTTCGGAAGTATCATTATCTGGCAAGTTTTCAACAGATTATCATCTGTGAAATAATGTCTTTTAGATGAAAAAAGTCCAAACCTATAAGATTTTGAAGTTGTTACAGTAGAACACAAACAAGTATGAATTTGTTTTTCAGGTATATCACATGTGCGATGGCCTCGGCAGACAGTTCAGTTACAAATGCCCCAACGCGACACTTTTTCAGCAACGAATGCTCATCTGCGACCACTGGTACATGGTGAACTGCAGCAAGTCAGTACAAGATTACGGAGCTAATCTCCTCATTGGCCAAAACAAGCCTTTCGTTGAAGATTCGGATTCAAACCCCTATGCCAGAACCCCCAGACCAGATCTGCTTTCAGCACCTTTGGATGCTTCGGAACACGACATCATCTATAGGTGAAATAATAAAAATAATTTTTACGAAACAAAATTTCAATAAACCTTTTTATTGATAGATAATTCTCAATATGATGACATTTCTTTTCTTCGCAGGTCGGGAGAGAATTCTAATCTTTCCCCGAAAAATCTAGTTGGATCAGAATCTATCGACGAAGACTCCACGGAATCGACCTATTTCCCTACAAATAATTGGTCTACACAGGTTCCAAAGCAAACCAAAACCTCTTCACCAGTTAGACCTAATCCCTACAAGGAATACACTCAGACGAGTAATGTCTACAGAACGAATTATAACTCGGGAAGAAGTAGGAATAACGATAGTTTTACAGGACCCAAAGCCAAAGCGATTCAGGTGGATTCGGCTAATCGAAATAGTGAGTGAATTACATTTTGTTTCCACGTCTTCAGTAGTCCAATCTGATTGTAGCCTCTCCCTACGATTATGGGAAATGTATTTGTTAGAATTGAACTTTAAGAAGGTCTAAGTCAATAGAACACTTTCCAGACTGTAAGTTGCTTCTGGTGTTCAGGTCTCCAATAAGACGAATGACACTTTTCTGGAAAAAATCAGCTTCAAGTAGCTATAAGTTAGTAATGGGCAACATTCCAAAGAAGGTTCAATTTAAGTTTTATGGAGTATTACAAGTTATTATGAATGAATGCTTTATTTATCATCGGATAATCAGATTACAATGTATAAAGAAAACATAAAAAATAAAAGAATAGTATGGAACATACTAAAATTTTTACACAGATCTATATATACATATACATTAACATATACAGAGTTGTCCAACGACAACAGTTGTGCTGTAAGGTTGAATTCCTGAACCTTACAGCAGCAAATTTTTCGAAAAATTCAATGAAGATGACCTGTTTTGATACTTGAATGTCCGAAAAGTGGTTTTTATTGTCCAGAAAAACATCATCTCTGGAGGATCTCCAATACTTATGAACTGCTTAGCCATTTGAAAAATGTTGTTGATCTATTCTAAATAGATGAAGATGATTTGAAATTTTTTTCAAACTCACTGGGACCTATTATTCAATAGTTTTCTAGCAAGGCAGTTTATTAATTTCCTTTTATTTATTTCTGTTTCAAAATCTAATTCTGAAAACCTTTCAAGATATTTTTTACCCGGTGATTGGTAAACATTGATGTTATATAAAAATAGAAAGCTCTTCAACAAGTTATGAATTTCCTCTAAATCCACACTGTTTATAAATAATATCTGCAGCCGAATTAGATCTCAGTGTATGTTACTAAACTATGCCTAATACTTCTCTCACCAATAGGTAAATTCTACTTTATTACTGACATCCCAAGCTGAACTTTTCTCAAAATCATCATTGAAATATAAACTTCTTGTTGTACATGTCGATACATTGTATTGAATATACTGAAGAATGTTTTTTAACTCTAACTCAAAATTTTTGTTCTACAGGTAACACTTTTTCATCCACCAAAGAAAGATCCCGTCCACAAGGAACTTCCTCCACTGTGTACAAATCTAACTTCAAAGCAACCACTCCAGTATATCCCTCATCGGTAGAAGAAAAAGCTTCACTCAAAAACATCGACCTCTTACCTCCTTTGCCTTACGCCAATTCGAGAAACGATATTTCGAAAAATCAAGCACTGAATTTGGATTTGTTACCTCCGAATCAATTTGGAAATGAAAAAGATGACTCAGGCCAGTTGGATATTCTGCTGCAAGGAGGAGAACATTTCAGCTTCCCATCAAACTTTAAAGCAACAACTCCTGTTTATCCTTCTCGAGAAGAACTCATCAGAGATTTCGCCACTAAGAAATCTGGAGTGAACTTCCAGTCCAATTTCAAAGCGACGACTCCGGTATATCCAAACACAGTTGATCCTACCAGTCCAGATCCAAGCAAGGTTGGAGTTTTACCTCCGAAGGGAAGTTCTGCAAGCTTTGAATCACACTTTGAGGCTACAACGCCTCAATATCCTACTTCTGTGGACCCCACTAGCCCAGATCCGAATCAAGCTGGACTTTTACCTCCAAGGAGCACAGATATCCGCAGCAGCTTCGAATCTCGCTACAAAGCTACCACTCCACAGTATCCTACTTCTGTAGATCCTACGAGTCCAAATCCCAGTGACGTGGGATTGCTGCCCCCGAAAAAAAACAACTTCATCAATTACCATTCGAACTTCAAGGCCACCACCCCTCAATACCCCAACTACGTGGAACCAACCAGCCAAAATCCCAATGACGTGGGGTTGCTACCCCCGAAAGAATCGAATTTTGTGAACTTTGAATCTAACTTCAAGGCCACTACTCCTCAGTATCCCGACCACGTGAACCCCACCAGTCCAGATCCTAACCAAGTTGGAGTGTTGCCCCCAAAGCATGCGGTACCTGATTTTGAGTCCTACCAGAAATCTGAAGAAGAAAAAGGATCATTTTCGTCATTTCCATCCAAGTTCTACCAACCTCCAAAATTCGACCAAGACGCAATTTTGGACGAATCCGAACTTCAGGAACAGCCAGGAATTCGTATGTTGAATTTCATGAAGTCTTTCAATCAGTCACAGTGGCAAGATTTGAGGAAAGTATTCCATATTCCGGAATACGATTTTCCTCTAGACGACGCTACTAGACCGAGTTACGACAGTGTGGTGAATTCGTTTGAACCACGACCTGTGAAGAAACGGTGATGTGTTTATAAGTGACTCCATAGACGATTGTTCAAACTTCTGAGGTGATTTTCAACATCGTAATTTCTTCGACTTTACAAAGTAGATATGATTTTTAGGTTATCAAATGACTGTCTACTTTTTTCAAGTCACAAAATACCAATCTTTTTTTTTGTTTTTAAATGAAGTAAAACATCTGCACATAGGTATTATCCTGACTACTTTCCGTTGGAAATATCTATTTAGTATTTTACTAATAGTTTTATTATTTGGGATGTTGTTTTTAGTAAACGATTGGTAACGCAGAAATATTATAATTAAGCTACCACAAGAACAAATTCTAGAAAGTTTTTAGGAAATAATTATACTATGCGTTATCACACATGGAACTTCTATCTAACAGTATATTATACAAGATACCTACAGAACTGTCTTTTGGACATCGATTAAGAATAGAATTTACAATTCAAGAACGTTTTTGGTTTCTCCGAGGTCATTAAAAATTGAATTCTAAGATCATAAGTTCACGAATGTTTCTCTATCAAGTCCAACCAAAAAATCTTTATTGTAAACAAATCCTGTTTTGAATAATCAATAAACACGACAATAGTTTTGTTACCAAATAGATTTGTTCCTTTTTATCTTGTGCGACTACTGAGCACCAGATTGGATCATCAATGACAAGTTTTTATCCTTTCGTATTCTTAAAATATTTGCTAAATTGGAAAAAGAATTCAGATATGAAGTGACATTTCATTTTGTAAAAGGTATAGAATATGGAGAATTCCTAATTTCCTAATATTTGATTTGGACCAGTAGTTATAGATTAGTGACTCAGAACTGCTGTCATTTGTCTAAAATTAGAGCAAATCATAACTCCTTTGACAACTGACTATAGTCAGAATTCTCAGAAATGACTGATATTTTTGGCTTAATCTGTCGATTGCAGTGGCGTATGGAAATTTTACTGAACAGATAAAGAAAAATGATGATTAAATATATAGAATCACAACCTTAACAACACAATATATTCATTTGGTTCAGTTCTGGTACTCCGAAATTGTTTCTTAACAAATTACACCTATTTTTGAAAACGTAATAGATGTTTGAATGAATAGATATTTCCTGTGGAACCTTATAAAAAGTTCTCGTTCATGCTATTTAGCTAAAAAATACGTACCAATAACTAGTCAAAAAATGCTAAGTAGCACGAACTCAATGGACTTTTTGTATCTGTACATATATTTATTCTTGGTACAGAATATGCTGCACGTTAGACACCTAAATATATGAGAATTTATGAAATTCTAATGGTTAATTTATTTTGATTCAACCTTACCTTTGATGTGTAGCATATCTATTGGTTAAATATATATATTTTCAGTGTTGTATATGGAAGAAAAAACTGAATAAAAATGTATTCTTTATTTTTCATTCATTTCCTTTTCCCTTTTGCGATACAAGTTTTTCTGGTTGGTTGAATAGAGGTAATATATAAGTCTCGACTGCTGCTGCGACAGACATCATCAGCGTTGACTGCGAAGAAGAAAGTGATTTATAGAAGCCTTAGCTACAATGTCTGGCGAGCTCGGTGTTCACGGGTATATATAATTTTAGGTGGTGGGGATGGTTGTAGGGGTGTGGTTTCTATGCGAATGCTCACTGCTGATTAGTCCGCCGTTTCGATAGGTTGTTCTGATTGGTCCACATTGTTGACAGGTATGATGCTAGAGCAGTGTTTCTCAAACTTTTCAAATTCAAGGTTATCGCGGCACCCCGAACGTAAAGACTACACTACATATTTAATTAATAAAAATAGGTAGGTGGCTGTCTGAACGGATTGTATTTTGCAATTACCGATATTATCATATTATCAGAGGATTTTTATTAATAGGTACCGACGTATCACCTTTACTCTCAGTTATCTATGTTGTAAAACGTTGTACCTTGAGACTCACCCGTGGCCCACGGCGCCCCAGTGGAGGTTCCACGACGCCCCAGGGCGCCGCGGCGCACACTTTGGCTTATAAATGATCTTAATGTTGTGGAGCAAACAGTTTTCCAATGCAGTCCGCGACTTCACTGGCGACTGAATCGTTGTCAAAGTAGGTAAATCTTCTTCTAGGATGTAGACATCGACTAGGTTATGTCGGTGGATGTAGAGCACGTTTGTTTACTTGCGCTGTAAATCCATTGGCCTGTACTGCTTGATCTAGATGACACAGTTCTTCTTCACGAAGATGTGGCTCACAAATCGTGGTGGCACCATCAACATTTGAGTTCTTATTGAGATACAGATCAGTAAGAGCGAGTTTGCGATTAACTGTATGACCTGGTTTTTCTTCAGTTTTTCAATTGACCATACATCTAAAGATGGAATATTATATGTATTTCAGGAATAGAAATCCACCGTAAAAAACACAAAATGTTACGTCCTGGAAAACTTGTAATTTTAATTTGTATCAATAAAATTTTGAAAAATCTACAATTCAAATAACAAAATAAATTAGAACTTTGAAAACTATGTTATGTTAAGAACAGAACATCTCTATATTTTCATCATCCAACAATCAGTATTTCCTGTTTGAAATTTCAAAACCTAGATATCTCCAAATGTACCTAATTAAATTAACAAAAAGAACAATTTGCCACGCCACTGTTGATTTACCTACACTGTAGCATTGTCTAAAGACAATGCCAACGCCCTTCGTGGTATCAACCAGGGGAATAGTTGTTTCCTGATAGGTGTCACTCCATTAACCTACCGTGTAGGTAAGTCGAGACTAGCGTGAACAAATTGTTCTTTTAGTTGATTTGATTTGCAGCCAATCTTCAAGAATGCCCATTGAATATATGAAGAGATCTCGAAATGTCCTACTGAATAAAAAGAAACACAGGCTATCTTCGTATCTACATATAATAATTAGAACGTCATGCACAATAAAACATTGGTTATTGTCATGAAGAATTATAGACAAAAACATTCACTTCTTCGTTGTTACATCTATTGTAATATTTTTTCACAAAAATGAAAAAGTCAACTCCGCATAGTGATTGATAAATTTTAAAAAAAGGTACCTATTAGGGAGCCAGTATAATGGTTATGTATCAGAAGATGTGTCCCTGCACAGTGTTCAATAATTTCGAAAACTAACAATGAAATGAAGGTGTGTAGGAACCCTGGTATTCAACCAATTCGATTTTGTTTTTAAAATCTCATGATGCGAGATATGACATTGGGCTAACTTCGTAAACATGTTAATAGATGGAGCAAGAAACTCGTTAGGAAATGTTAACATTGGTGCGCCTCTGTTAATGGAACGCAGAAGTACATTGAATCTATTTTATAACCAAGCGTGATGTAGATCGCGTGTTTTTATCAAAATATTAAATAAAATTGAAAGATAATAATCAGAATCAGTGAATAAATCAAAATATTTGTGTTTATACTTCAACTCCGATTAGTTTACTCCAAATATATGAAATAATGAATGATGTATATATTCCCAATGTTTTGTCTAGTTCCTCAAAACTGACTTTTTAAAGCTCATTTCAGTGATAGATTGTAAAAATGAAATTGACCAGCTATACAATATTGCATATACCATTTTTCCACTTAATTGGTTGGAGACACCAGAGTTATCCTCATTTCATGATGAGCGGATTTCAATGAGACCCTTTGTACTCCAATCCTTAATTTTACACAATTATCACAATATTTAACTCTGAAAAACGCTTCGCCTTCCACTTTCAATCCTAAATTTTCTCAAATACTTTCTTTAACAGAAATCTTGGGAGAATTTTTGTTAAATTAATACACTTAATATTTAACGGAATATCAGTACAGTCACTTTGAGAATTCTTCATTTTCCTTAAGAGGTGTGGATGAAAAAGAGACTGAATGAAAAATCCAATGAAAAATGTCTGCGGCAATAATTCAAATCAAAGAAAATGTAGCAAGTAATTTCCCGTGTCAATGGAAAAAATCAAAATACTAAATTTTGATATTACAATTTATAAAATGAATATCTAATCCAGTTCAATAACACTGTTTTTAGTAAACCACTGCTTCTTATTCTCATAATAATTGATGACAATTTCAGGGCACCGAACGTTCATCTGATTTGCGGGAACCAAGTCGGCTTCCTGGCAATTCTTCCACATCATTAGGAACATAAGCTCACCACTGGCATCTGTAGCCCCTACAATTTTGTCTGGTTCGAGTCCCCTATCAAAACCTCTTGCTCGATTGTCTTCGGTTATATTTTTCCGTTTTGATTTGTCAGCCTCTTCTGCTTTTGCAGCAGAGGCAATTTCGAATTGCGATTCGTAAGCTGCAATCAAATCGGGACAGTCCAAATTCTCCTCTGGCTCCCATGTGTTGTCTTCTCTGTAAATACAAATGATTCATGGTTGCCATGACTACATTCGGAGTGCAACTGTTGATTTTAAAAAATATTCGCTTACTCGTTATATCCTTTCCATTTCAACAGGTATTCAACTTTACCATCTCGTGTCCTTTTGTCTAATATCTTTTCAACAGAAAATTCCTCAGGCGCCCCACTCGATGGACCAGAAGTTGTTGGGAGAGGGTTTGAAATATCTTGAGATTCATCCTTTGCACGAGCTAAAATTAAAGAAAAAATGAAAATCATTCTGATATATTATTATATACCCATAATTACTTTTAACCATCACTGTATAATTTCAGTCTTATAATTGAAGTTGATACTTAAGTAAACCGAAATGTTTGTGAACTAATAATAAAGTAGAACTTCACTGTTATGTATTTTTTGCATACAAATATTTTTAAAAGCTGTAAATTTGTCAGAAAATGAAGTCGAATTGTTTACAAACAGTAAACAGACCAAAGAAGGTTAGGAAAAGGACCACTCATTTTACAGATATCGTCCAAGGAGATGTCCACATGGTAAAATACCTTAAATACAGATGGCGCTATCGAGTTAGAGAACTAGGAGGTTAGTCTAATACAAAGCTAGAATCTTTGTATACCATACAAAGCTAGAATCAATGTAACACCCACAGTTCTAGGGTAACACCAATTTAAAATTATTTTCTTGTTTGATCTTAGTTTCTGTGCAAAGCGAAGAATAGTTCGAGTAGATTGTAGATTCGATGCTCGATTTCTTCTTAAAACGATATCGTAATATCTTATGAATAGAGAGTTTTCCCCGAATTATGGTTGTCATGCTTTAGCTCTGTGGATAATATTTTTAAAATTGAATAGTCATTATAGAAATTTAGATTCTTCATAATAGTATAAATGAATATTACTGTAAATGAACAAAAAAACTGAATTATGAATAAGTAACTATGACTTCATGTGGCTATAATTAGTTTTCCCTGAGTTTAAAGTTCATATTGTGAAGCATAGGTGTCACTAACTCTGACCGATCGTAATCAATGTAGACTACAGAAATCTGTTTTTGAGATTTCCCTATAAACTGATAGATGGCGATATAGTTTCAGGAAAATTATCCAGTTTTGGATGTTAGGGTTAAGTATTAGGTTATGTTAAGCTCTCATTCTTGGACGAAGGACGATTGTTTTTCCAAGAAATCGAACTAAAAGTACTATATCACTCGCAGCATTTGAGTTTTTACTTACTGAAAGCTTTTCATTATTCTAAATAATACAACTTAAACTTTATTGAAAACTAAATTCATTTATTAATAAATAAAATTGAAAACAGGTATACATGGTAAAGTTGCAAGTTAACAGAACACATAATAAAAACGAGTTTATTTTTAGGTATCTTCTATTCAATCCTTAAAATACATTCCTAAGCATGCAACATCCATCAGAGTGTACCCATTACTGTTACTTAGACGCAGATCTTCATAGGGAACACAATTAAAATTTGTTTAAAAAAAAAATAGAACCTAGAATGAAATTATTAATCCAATCATCTCAAAACAAAAGTCTTTCGATGTTATACTGAGAAATAAACATTACAGCTAGTATGCACAAGCTCAAGATGATTGCTCTTGACTGTTGCTCTCCTGGGATTTCATTACATCTGGTAAATCTGGAGGAGCAGAGTAAGGAACTAGATCCAGTTGCTCAAATATTCCGCTGTCATCTCTGAAAAGTAACTCTGATATTAATGGAGTTTTTTTTACATTAGGTAAGAAAAAATCTTACTGGATATGTATTCGAAATCTTTCCTGATATTTATGAAAAATAAATTCAACAAGAAGTTTGATAATCTTTATTATCATAATTCCCAATAACTGACAAGTGTATAGCAGAAAACATATCTCATTATAAAAATGAAACATTATAATGATAAATTATTTTTTAAAAAGTCTCCCGCCACATCTGAGGATCTGAATACAGCAAATTCAAATACTACTGAAAGGATTTTCATGAGGATTTCATCAATAGATGAAATGATTCAAGAAAAAGGTTTATGAAAGTAATTTATAATTGTTTCATGTAAATTGGTTAAACACTTGACTAAGGTAGGGTGCAATTAATATAAGAAATTTAATCAGATTGTCTGGCTTATGATAGTAAATATTTTTTGAGGTTAAGTTGGAATTTATCAACTTTTCTATGAGGTTTGTTCAAAAAGCGAATTTACATTTTTCTCAAAAATATTTATTTATTCATCCATTTCTATTTTGTCCTCTTCAAAGTATTCTTCCACAGATATAATACACTTGTGCCGGCGTTTTTTCCAATCCTCTGATATACACTTTTTGTTATTACCCTGAGCTCTCTCATAGCAAAACGCCGTCCTTCCACGAGTCTCTTCAATCTTGGGAACAGAAAAAAGTTGCAGAGGGCCTAATTTGGTTAAAACGGTGACATTATAAGGGTGTTGTTTTTTGTCAAAAAATTACGAACAAGCAATAACAAGTGAGTAGGTGCGAAAGTCATCAATTGTTTTTCCACAATACCAGACGTTTTTCTTCGTATTGCTTCTCGCAAGAGGCACATAACTTCAAAATAATATACTTTATTGACCATACAAATGTAGCACTATGCCAGGGTAATGATGAAAACAGTTAGTTTAACCTTGTCACTTGATCTACCTTGGGAGTGCTTCTTTGGTCTTGGCCCTTCTGGGCTCTTCCATTGAGATGATTGGACTTTCGTTTCGATGTCATAATTACAATTACAAATAATTACAAGGAAATCTGGATCGCTGTTGACGCCATTAAAAGACTCCTGGGCAATGCTCATAAGACAGTTTTTATATACCGTATAGAAACTTCATCAATTCCAAACGTTATTTATTCTTGACAGAAATGTCAATTACCATGAAATGCATTGGTGAATATAGATGAATATAATAAGATTGGAGACCCTCAACAGAAAACTGCTCAAATCACACCTATTATTCTAAAAATTGAAATAAACTAGTAGTTGCAAAATGACTAAGTTTACCTTTGTAGGATAGTAATTGATTTAGTCCACCAGGAACATTGTAGAAATCATATGAAACCAATCATGCAAGTAATTATTTTTATGACTAGTAAAAAAACTGAGCTTCCCCAGTAATTATATCGTATTGATAAAACACCTTTCATTAGTAAAATTGGACATACGTAAAAGAAAACTGACCTGATTGCCAAGCCGACAGTGGCAGGACTTTGGGCTTTTGCTGTGGTTGCTGTCAGTCCATAATCCTGAAGCATGTAGGAATCTTCCATAACCGTGTTGTCTTTGTTGAAGAGTTGTTGATTCTGTGGTGGAATCTTGAGTATACCTGTAAATATTTGGACTAGAATCTATTTTGTTGATAGGACTAAATATTTACCTTCGATAATTTTTTTGAGTTCAGAGACGGTAGTGGTGTCTTTTGCATCGGTAAATATTGTCAATTTTTTTCTTCGAATCATCAAAAACACGTCCTGAAAAGGGCATTATTTGAAAATGCAGTAGATTGGCTTCTTTAAGGTTAGGGAGTGTTCCAGAAATTATGGGAGGTGTCATAATCGTAAATTTTATAAACTAACTTACCATAGTGATGGTTTCTTTTCTGAATTTATATGTTTAGAAAATGGATTTTGTATAATACAAACATTAATTATAATAATTCAGCAACACTTTATAAGTCAACAGCGTACAAGTGCAAATATATATATATATACAGATGATGATTTCTCTTTCTCAATACAACCTGCAATTGATGCCAACCTTACAAGTACCACCTACAACTTGACGAAACTTTAAGTTACTATTACTTCATATTTTACTTTAAGAAAGCATTCATACACCACACTATTATTTAAAAGGGTGGTGTATGAGCGCTCCCTTTTATTTACATTGAAATGATAGTAAAACATGAAGTTATAGTTTGTTTCTGTCAAAAATTTCCTTGTGTTTGTAAATCTTTTGCTAAAAAAATCCTCACTTGTTTACTTTGTAGTAAATGTTCAAGAGGTAGCAAAGACGTATGTGAATTTCTGGATCTTCATCTACCGTTTCCTAATATGACTAATAACGAGTCCGTACAAAGCTTATGACTAACAAGTTTATTTTTTCTGTTCCGTGTCACAGCATATGCTGTGTCCGTGTTAAGAGTCTTTTCTATAAGGGTATTGTGTGACTTTTCTCTATGTCCTAACCTTGAACTTAAAAGCCGTCAATCTCATTTTGACAGACGTCAACCCTTAGAAAAGTACCATATTTTTATAGAAAAATTATTCTTTTTTGGATAAAAAAGCTGATGTGTAATAAAAATAACTTCTAAAACGACTATGCCGTTAGCAAATGCAATCGAACCATGGAAAATTCAGCACGGCGATACAGAGGTTAGTGAAAGAAAATCAATTCAACAATCTTTCCTTGGGGAAACCTGTTGTTTCACTATCTTTTCAAGCACGCGTGCTATAACTTTTTGTTTTCATAACTAGTTTATTCATTTTGCAGCTTCTGGAGTATCCAGGTCCCTAAGAATAGTTTCTGTACGTAGACGATTTCATTTTCATTTTTTGTGTGGCACCACCTAGGCACTCACTTCTAAAATTTTAGTTGCATGTACTCTTATTGAGAGATTGAATATATCTGCTGGTCAAATGAATAATACACCTTTCTTATGCCGTTTTGCTTCTTATAGATGTTTCACTTTTGATTTTGTTGGTTCTAATTTGCTTGGTGATTTGTGGGTGAACTTTCACAAAGATACATACAGGTTGTTACACTTTAGTCTTATTGTGAATTCTTCTAAGCTAGCAAAATTCATTTCAATTTCTGATATGATACAATCATAGAGTACGCAAACTAACAATACAAATTAATTTTAAACACCTAAGTAGAGACATAATCTCTTTTATTGTTTAATTTTTATGAAAGAAAATGCCTTTTCAACATACCATACATTTCCCAGCATTACATACAGCATACATACCATATAAAAGAGGACTTTTTTGGAATAAAAAAGTGTTATGATTACTGGGCAGAAGGTGATCTTTTTTCTTGTATTATATGACTTGTGTTCTTACTTTGTCCATCACATTTCTATTTTTGAAAATATAAGATGTTACTTCATACACAGATATGAAGGTCAATATTTTGGAGGGTTTGAAAATATCTCTGGTAGACAGCTGTTTCAGCCTATTGAGCATCTCCAGTACCGGGCAAGCGGTCCTCGATTGAAGACAAAATGTGAATAACCAAGAAAAGTACTTGATAAAAAACTGCATGAACGCAAGCAAGATATAAGTGGGACCACCTATTGGTGTGACACCCAAGTCAACTTGCCAAGTTTTTGTCAGTGTTGGTGGTTTGATCAATCAACTGACAACTGCGGCAGCAGAAATTTGGGAAGCTATTGATTTATTCATTTGGTAGGAAGATTCTAAAAACCAAACATAATATACATAATATTTCATGCTATATAGACTAACATAGTAAGGCTATAGCACATATATACATATAGGTACACATAAATACATAATATATACAGAGTCACTTACTATCTATTCTATTGTGATACCTTTCATATAATCAGTCAAATCTTTTTTTAATTGAAACAGGTTTTTATTATTCTTCACATTTTGGGGAAGTTTGTTATATTCAATGAGGCCTTTATATAATTCTATTCTGGAATGCCATCGGAAAACGAATCTACATGTTTCTAGAAATGATATGAAATCTAGAAAGGTTAATACAGTTAAGCTGCTGGAAAGTAATTCCATGAAAAATCAAAAGATCGTTCCCATATTGGTTTCAAACTAAGAGCCACCGGTAAACAGCTGTTTCAGCCTATTGGGCATTGTCAGTACCAAGCAGTCGGTCCTCAAGTGAAGACAATAGGAATGTAGGCTTTCACGGCTGGCGTCAATGTTATGGTTGGTTTCCGGGTTTTGTTGTGGTCTTCTTTGGTTATAATCCCCAAATGTTTCAACTTCAATTGCGGCAGTCATCTTCAGTGGGGTGTTCGAAGTATTCTTCTTGTCGTGTCAAATGTTGACATGTACGCCATGGTAATTGAAAAAAACAATGAACAAAACCATGACATTAGATAGAAATTAGCGTACTTTTTTGGTCTTGGCTCTCCTGGGCTCTTTCATTGGGATGATTGCACTTTTGGTATAACCATACCATATGGTATGGTATAACCATATACTCATGAATTGTCACCAGTTATGAATCTGTTAAGCAAATATGGATCGCCGTTGACATCATTCAACAATTCTCAAGTGATGCTTGTGCTACGGTTTTTTTGGTCACAATTCAGCAGTTTTGAAAATCGGAATTCCTTCAGTTGTATTGCCAATTGCATATGCAGGAAATTTTCTGTGAAGATTCCTGCACTGACGCCTGTCGGATATAATCCAACGCCCTTCGTGGTATTAGCCAAAGAAGTAATTGTTTTCTGATAGGCGTCAGTCCATTCAACCTACTGTGTAGGTATATTCGAGACTGGCTTGAACGTTTAAAGTTCATTTCTTTAGATTTGTTTACTGCCAGTCTTCAAGCATATCCCATTGACTAATAAGAAAACAATAATTTGCATTGGAAGTCAGAAAAAATTAAAAACCATCCTAAGTAACGATGTTATTGAAAACAAAAATTCGAAACCTACTTTCAGTAAATCTAAAACATCTACCACTATAACGAACAAGTTACTTGAATTAGCCAGTGCAAAGAACTTGAAATATATTTGTGAGTATCTGTTTCGTGGAAGTATGTGGTTTCAGCTTCCTCTGTCCTTACAGAAGTTTGTGACTCGGTGAATAAAAAAGTATATACCTACTGAATTATACCGTATTACAGTCACATTGGATTTTTACACTAACGTTTCTTACATGTCATACAGAAAGTCACTTCTGTTTATTGAAACTACTTCTACACTTCAAAATATCGTAATGGATCCACCTCATGGATCCACCTTGGGGCCATTATTATTTACTATTTTCACACATGATCTACATGTGCATATGGTCTTGCCATTATGTTTGTGACGAGAAATTATTTCATTTTATATTTCGTCCTTCCTTCTGTGCTAGAAATAACATAAAAGGTAATCCCTAGCTTGCATCGGTTCAGACTCTTGAAGGTTATTTACACATGGGTTTGACATCGGGGTAGGAAAAACCTACTTCATTTCACAGGTAGGTGCAATAATCTGAAATCATCCAAAGCAAATGACTTAATGAAGTGTACTACAAGATGAAGGTTATCCAAATTCTGATTAGGGAAAGCCTAATGTTTAAGTTAGTAGATAAAAAACTTAATAGACCAAATGCCTTAGAATGAGAATGAAATTTTATCATACACAAAAATTAAATAATTCTCTTTATTCTGGTTTGGCTTTGCTAGTGTATTGTAAGAATACAATTACATAGACAATTGGTGTCACTGCTTTTCGAGTGGTGTCACTGCTTTTGGAATTTCTTCCTGACGTTTCACTGGCGCGAGTGGCAACTTCTTCAGAGGTTTAACCATCATGGCTTGCTGTCCGACAGCAAGGCTTTCAAACTCGAAAAGCAATGACACTGAAAACCTCAGCCGTGAAAGTCTAAACCGTTTTGTTATAGATAATTGGGCTGAAGATTCGTAGGCTAACATTGAAAAAAAATGTTTTGATAAAATGATGCATCATCCAGTTTGAGCAGAGCTTTCACATACCCAAATATTCATGTTCTAATAATTCGACAGCTGTGAAATTTATACACGTGTCTTTTGTAGGTTATGGTTTACTAAAAATCATATGTATCGCCATCTGTGTGTTAGCCTACGAACTTCTCAACACATCTAGTATTTGAAAAGTCAACTCCAACGTGGTTCTGCTAGCTTAACAGGGATTATTTCAATTAAATTTCTCTTGTTGTTCAAAGATAATGGAAATAGAAGCTAAATGTCCCTACAATGGATCGTTTAGTTGCTAAATAAAACGAACATTTCCAGAATAACAAATGGATGGGGGGGCTAAAATTGGGCATGCAATTCATTATTAAGAGTTGTTCAAAAACAATAATACCGAAACTAATGAAGATTTCCAAACGGATAATTTAATCAGATTGTTTCCTATATTATCCATCCTTGCACCTACAGTCCACATTGTGACAGTCATCCTACATTTTTTTTCAATATTTAACTAATCAGTTTTCAAACAAATACAGCAACGGTGTTACAAAATTCCATCGTTACCGTCCATGAGTTGTCCTTTTTTTAGAGAGGTCGTAGTTGTGGCTGCGTATCAGAACCTCCACTTCCCACCAGGACTTCCGAAAGTACCCGAATAATGGTACTGGCTCAGATGAAAGTCTATCAGTGAATCAGGGTATTTTGGAGTTATGCGAGATTTAAAAGTGAGTGACGTAGAAAATCCATGTCATCTGAAGTGGATACTGTCGGAAGTGGATGTCGTGGAAAAGGGCAATCGGAAGCGGATGTTGTGGGAGATGCACGTCGCCGGAAGGAGATTTTGTGGGAAGTGGAGGTCGCAGAAAGTGGATGACATGCGAAATGGATGTCGTGGTAAGTGGTGATAGTGTGAAATTCGTCTTGAGAAGTGGATGTTTTGGACAAGTGGACGGATGACGTGGAATGTTGATGTCCCAGTAAGACATGAAGATGGTGGACTGCTTAGTAGACTGCTAGATAAATGAAATGATAATTATTCAGTCGCCTTTCACATCACAGAAATAACGTCAGGCATGTTACAGACAAAACAATCGTATCTCCAAATAATACAGACTCCACATAAATAAAACATGTAGGAAAGTAAATATGCAATGAGAAAAATACATGTAAAAAAGTATTCACAAAGTATCAATGAAACTAAATTAAGTTGTCTATGATAGTCGTTTATGTTGATTGAATATTTTAATTGAAATATTTCAACAACTCAAAAATAAAATTTTTATATAAGTATAAAATATCAGAACTTGCAATTAAATATATCTATTAAATTCTATCTAAAAAAATTGGAAGAAAAGCCTAGGTTATTACTTAAATTTGTATGTATATTAATATGATAATATAAGGAAATATTATTCATTAACAAAATCTTTTATTGATTATTTTGCGTATGTACATATATTATAGTTACCATAAGCCAATTGTTACTTTTGTAACATACACAAAATTAGTACCATTTTCAAGCCACGTGCTTGCTGGTTGGATTTTCATAATACTGTCAACAGTATATGTCTGACTACTAAACACTGAGCCCGACGAGAGAGGAGGAGCCTGCCTTCCGCTGACGTATGCGTGAGAGAAAGGGAAGCCAGATAAACTGGCGCCGTTACACGTTAGGTAACGAAGCGGTTTACTCTCCTATGAGAAGTTATCACTTGAATAAATATTTCGAAATTTTATTTCGAATATTCATCTCTCCTAGTTACCTCCGGCAAGCATTTACCAGAAACTACTGTGTAGGTAGATGAGATAATAATTGATTTTATCAAATACTTTGACAATTAATAACTTGCATGGCACACTACTGGCGATATAATTAATTTCGTTTGTGTCTTAAACTTTTAACTCTCTCATTTTCAAAGATGCTCTTCGTATTTATTATACAGGGTGTAACTGAATAAGTGTAAAACATTTAAGGAGGTGATTTCTCATCGAAAAAAAGATAGAATCTTTCATATAAAGAAAATTAACAAGGGATGCTCCAATGAAATTTCTTTATATGAAAGATCCTATCTTTTTTTCGACGAGGAATCACCTTGAATGTTTCACACTTATTTAATTACACCCTGTATATTTACACATGTTGACGCTTTTCTTATAAACATTGAATTCCTTTTTGTTTGCAAAACGCTATAAAAAAGAAGACTATTGTATAGTTTCAATAAAAATGTAATCTTTGAAAAAATACTTTGCTAGTCAGCTCAAAATAGAATTTAATGATTTTCTATGTTAATTTTTAGTCACAATCTGGTGATGTTGATGAACAAGCTGCCGCAGATGATACTGGACCCAATGAGGGAGAACATGAGATCGAGTTGGGAGAAGTGAGTATTTATGTCGAAGCAGTTAAAAATACATTCGGGTTACTTGCAGAGAAAAAATAGTTTAATATTATTGGGTTGATGCTGTTGAAGAACAATAGCAAATATTTCTTTAATTCTTTGAATTATTTTCTTCTTCTTTCATCTATTGTTTAATGACATATTTTCCTCTCTAGATAGATCATAATTCAATATTCAAATATCATTTTTTTACCTATACTGCCTGTCCAAGATAAGGAGGCCTGGCATGGGAAAAAAATAGGTTAAATTGTGCAAAAATTAAACACTTCAGAACCTATTTAAATGACAAAGACTAAACTCTTTCATATTTTGCGTTGAATAAGTAAGAATAATTTGGAGAACGAACTGAAACTGGTCGTGTCAAATAAAAAAAAACTTAGTAGAAATCAGACAAAATTTATTTTCTCTATCCTATATGTCTATGAGTACTTTCTAATTTCGTATATGAATTTCTCAGGTCGTCAGATATGGCCACGAGAAGGCGGATCCTTCTCAGTTCGAACTCCTCAAAGTTCTCGGAGAAGGATCCTTCGGGAAGGTGTTTCTCGCGAGGAAAGTCGTAGGCAACGACGCTGGCACCCTCTACGCTATGAAGGTGTTGAAGAAAGCCACATTGAAAGTGCGGGATCGTCATCGTACCAAAATGGAGAGGAACATACTGGTGGAAGTGGAACATCCTTTCATCGTCAAGTTACACTACGCCTTCCAGACCGAAGGGAAGCTCTATTTGATTCTGGATTTCCTCAGAGGCGGGGATCTGTTCTCGCGGCTGAGCAAAGAGGTTAGTTTTGTTGGTCCACTGCATTACTCTGCATATTACTGGGTATTTTTGAGGTTGTTGGCTGTGTTTTGCAGTCTTATGTTTCATTTGTAACTGTTACAGACATTTTAAAAGCGATCTTTGAGTGAATGAATCATTAAAACATCAGTAATTTCATTAAAGAAGAGGTTACGTTCTGAATTTCTTTGTCAGAACTGAAATCATTGTTGTTTGTGCTTTCTCATATAATGTTTTTCACTTCAACTGTCCTTAATATGTTAATTTTTTTTTTTTGATATTTTTATTTACTTCTTTAGGTTATGTTTACCGAGGAAGATGTTAAATTCTATCTGGCAGAACTTGCACTAGCCTTGAACCACTTACATTCCTTAGGAATCATCTACAGGGACCTAAAGCCTGAAAACATACTGTTGGATTCCGATGGACACATAGCTTTAACAGACTTTGGTCTTTCCAAGTTGCCTTTGGAAGAGGGAAAGGCCTATAGCTTTTGTGGAACGGTGAGTTGAATATCTATTTCATCATTTCGATTTTTAAGAAATAATTAGACTTTCTTGCAGAATTTATTTTACTGAATATATATTCACCTGTTGATATCGCAAGTCTTTTTTCACTTGAAAAACGGAAAATCCCCTATGCGACTTATGTGATTATAAATTAATGTAAATGAAAATATATAGCAATAGCTATGTAAAATAAAACACATTTAGTTGCCAATTCCTGTCTATTACAAACACACACTCATATCATTCTATTAAACTACTATCAAAATACTGTACGAGGGTTGCCTTTCATGTTTCGGGATTTGGCAACAACTGCATTTTTGAGTACCCAAAACATTGATTTGATGAGTCATCCGCCGTATATTCTTGACTTGGCACCAAATGACTTCTTTTTATTCCCGCACGTAAAAAGCAAACTGAGAGGTCAACGTTTTTTGACACCTGAAGAAGTTGCTGCATTTAGAATGCATGTTTTGGAAATATCTCAATCAGAGTGGCAGAAGTGCTTTGACAATTGGTTCAAACGCATGCAAAAGTGTAAAGATCGTCATGGGGAATATTTTGAAAAACAATAAAGTGATTTTCGATTATTAATATTTGTTTTTGTTCTCTAATCCCGAAATTCAAAAGGCAACTCTCGTATATGCTTCATAACTTGTTCTTTATGTCATTATTGAAATAATTTATATCATTTTTATAATTTGTTCATGGAGTTCAACAAACTATTAAAATAACTACAGATTTATTAAATAAAGTATCATGGAAATAATTTATAACAGACTACTATCAAAATAATGTGCAAGTGATCTATAGCTTGTTTTCTCTACAAACTACTTACAATGGAAATACTTTTACAATGATCTACAGCTTGTTTACTATAATAAAGTACTATCAAAATAATTTACACCTACCATATTGTCCTATATCTTGTTTACTGAACTGTAATAACTAGCACAGAGTACTATCAAAATAATCCACAAACGATCTATAGCTTGTTCTTGATATTGACGAAACTATCATAGAAGCAATTTTGCACTAATCTATAGCTTTGTCACTACATTAAAAAAGCTATTGAGAAAATAATTGATAACTGGTCTTCATCTTCTGCAATATGCTAAAGTACTATTGAAATAACTACCATAATAATTTCACACCGTTTTGTTTATTATATTAAAAAAAACACTATCAAAGTATTTTTCAACTGATTTATAGCCTGTTTGTTATATTAAACAAACCATTATAAAAATGGTTAATAAATGAGCTATAGCTTGTTCACTGCATTTAACAAAATACTATGAAAATGATTTTCAGTTGATCTATAGCTTGTTCACTGAATAAGATTGCTATAAAATCAACTTGTTTCAAGGTGGAATACATGGCTCCAGAAGTAGTGAACAGAAAGGGGCACACTTTCGCTGCCGACTGGTGGTCTTTCGGGGTCCTCATGTTCGAAATGTTGACAGGCGCACTGCCGTTCCAGGGTTCTGATCGTAAAGAGACCATGACGCAGATCCTGAAGGCGAAGCTCGGCATGCCAACTAACCTCAGTCCGGAAGCACAGAGCCTGTTGAGGGTTTTATTCAAACGAAATCCAGCAAATAGATTAGGTATAATCAATGAGCGAAATTGAAAAGACTGCAAGAGATGTGAATGATTTGACTGAAATAACAGTGCGAGAGTTTTGTTGATGGAGTGATATTAGAAAAAATGTTGAAATTGAGAGAAAGGGGGAGAGTTGGAGATTGAAGGAGGAGAGATTCCAGGTTGAGTTAGTTTTGATTTGGAGGGTTTTTTGAGAAAAATATAGAGGGAAGGTGTTGAGGGGAGGATTGAGAAGAGGGTTGGGGGAAAAAAATCAAAGATAATTTGGAGAGAAAGCAGAAAAGAGTTGATATAGAAAACGTAAACCATTTCTAACTGGAGAGAGTTGAAATGGTTTAGGAAATAAGAATGTTTCGACTGTCTCTTTCCCAGAATCTTAAAAAAAAGAACATATTGCAAAATGAGAAGGTTTTGTCTGAAATAATAAAAGACGACCGAGTTACACTTTAGTGATCAAATATCGCACACAGAGAAAGAATAATGAGGCAGTTGTGAAGAAAAAAATGTTATATGTCGAATTTTATAATTTTGAATGTGAAGCTCATAATCTCTTTCTTTTTGAGTTTGCTGAAGGTTGCTTCTAAATGAACAGGTGCGGGTCCAGCAGGAATTGAGGATTTGAAGAAACACGAATTTTTCGCCACGTTGGACTTCAATGCTTTATTAGCCAAGAAGATCAGGCCTCCATTCCAACCAGCGGTGTGCGGACCCGAAGACGCATATTTCGATACTGAATTCACCAGCAAAACTCCTAAAGATTCACCAGGAGTTCCCGCCAGTGCTAATGCTCACGAGTTATTTAGAGGGTAAGACATTTATGTGGTAACCCTTGTTAATAGTAATGATCATATATTTCCTTACCTAATCCAATTTGAAGATGAAGGGGTAGTGAGTACTAAAAAAAGTGAACCTGAAATGGCCGAAACTCTCAACATTTATTTCCATGAAATCTTGAATTCTAAAATGTTAAGCATTTGATACAGCTGGTCATGCAATCCTCAATCTAATCAATACATCACTCCAGAATGTCAATTGCCCGAATTCTTAAAAATAAGTACCATTATACCCATACCTAAAGTTACAAACACTATAAAAGCAAGTGAATTTAGACCAATTAATACCTTACCGCCAATAAAGTTCTAGAAATAGTAGTATATAATAAATTATTAGAGTTTATTGACAAAAATCAAATCATGTTTAGCAATCAATCTGGTTTAAAAAAAAACATTTTTGTGAAACAGCACTACAGTTATCATTAACTAAATTTACTAATGAAACAGATAAAGATAAATATGTTATAACTGTCTTTTTAGATTTCAAAAGGGCCTTTGCAACGATTGATAGAAGTATTTTGCTTCAGAAGCTGAGAAGATATGGGATTGGCGGCATAGTTTGTGAATGGATGAGTATTTATTTATCAAATAGGAAACAGAGAGTACGTGTGAATGATTATTTTCCATCATATATAACAAATCACACAGGAGTGCCACAAAGTAGTGTGCTTGGTATCACGAACGAGTCTCTGTGATCATCTGTGATGGTGTCATGGCAACATAATTCAGAGTGGGGACGAAGTGAGAGAGTAATAGATAGAGAAAAAGTGAAAGAGGAATAAAAACCCGGTGAGGGAAATATAGGTATCACACAGCTGCACGCATTAAACCTTATCTACGAATTTTTGTTATTTTGGGTTACGGAAATCGTCAGATTATATATTTTTCGTTATCCTTGAATTATTTCCTTCAAAATAAAAAAAAAATAGTTACGCTCGAGAATGTCGAAATGACGTTATTTTTGTACAACTTTGCTGCCATTTCCTTTCTCTACGTCACTCTCAAAATGTCAGATTACTGGAATATACACTTTGTAGCATGTAATTAACTCACCCTACCTTAATCTGACGCGCTCGAGAATTTCTGGTGATCAATTTTTTTTTACCAATCTGATCCTTTATCCTTCACGGGCGGCCTTATATATGAGGCTCATTTGGTGGAGGTACTGAACCGAGTACAAGGTATCCCCCTGTATATTAATCTGCAGCGCTTTAGTAAATCCTGAAATGCCCGCTTGGACTCCCCTATGATAAATATTACATTCCTGAAATTCCTATTTAAATTTGAATATTCATTATTCATTAGAAACAGCCGAAACTGTGAACATATGTTAGAGACGAGTGTACGAACATAAAAATATCGCTAATTGAATGTATGTAGCCCGCAAAGTTTTAACATTCATTTTCTTTTTTGAACAGTTGGTTAACGGAAAAACAGATTTTAAAACAGACCTCGTATATGTAAAAGAACATGTTTATTCTTAGATTTATTCGGTAACAAAGATATTTTGCTATCTACAAGTTTGAATTCATATTTTATTTCAGGTTTAGTTTCATAGCACCATGTCTTCTAGACGGTGCAATCGTACCTAAAATGATAGACGTTCCGGTGAATTCCATGCGAACATGCGACCAGAACTTTTCAGAGGACTACGTTTTGATGGACATTATTGGAACAGGCAGTTATAGCGTTTGTAGGTTAGCCAGACACAAAACAACAGGACAGCAATATGCGGTGAAGGTAACACCGTTTGTTACTTTTTCAATATTTATCTTGATATTTTCGAATTTCGTCCCATTTCAGATCATTAACAAATCGCTGTGCGACTGCAGAGAAGAAGTTGAAATCCTCTTGAGGTACGGCAAACATCCTGGGATTGTGTCTTTGAAAAATGTCTACGAGGATGAGAGTAAAGTTTATCTGGTGTTGCAGTTACTCAAAGGAGGGGATTTATTGGACTATATGATTGCAAAGGTAACTCGGAAAGTTTCCTGTATTGCGTGAACACCTATTTTCATCCTTCATCCTTGAATCCTTCAAAATTCACATTTGCAAAAGTTTTTGCGCATAGAAAAGTGATTACATATGTTCAAATGCCAATAAAACTCCTCAAGTTATCATTAAAAGAATACATGTATACTGACTTCTTCAAACAAAATTCATACTTGAAGTTGACAGATTTTTTGTTATACTGAAACGCTTTCTCAGAGCTTATTGACGTCACTACTTGGTTTTGAAAATCTCACATCGTTTTGATATTGAATGTGATATATTTTTGTTGCTGCTCTGGAGCAAAATACAATCATTTATCTGGCAACAGTGTGCTGAATGAAGAGATTCACTGTCATTTGCACAAAGTCAGTTTTAGTTTTATGAATTTTTGATGGATTATTTATTGGGTACTAATAAACACTGTGAATGTGTTATCTGTCCACCATAATAATAACCTGAAAATGATCTATCCTGATAAAAACGTATGGAAATTCCATATTTTACTTATTATGAAAGATTGAGGTAAGTTATCAAGTTTAACTTCCCGTTAAACTTGATAAACATATTGAACATTCATCAAACGAATCCTTACGAACGAGGATTGTGACACAAGTGTTTTTTTATTAGTCAGATGAATTTCACCAATTAATCATGAAGCTCTCAAATGACGTCACTAATTTGTTTACAGTAAATCTGAATAATACTTTTTTTGGAAAACAGTAACGATGACCGATGTATTGTAAAACGAAATATCTTCTTATGTATTCATTTACCCTAAATACTAACAAATTTTTCATTTTTTTAACCATACCAAATCACTATTCACAGAACATAAATAACGAGGCCGAAATACTTGTAAACCTTCCAAATTCAAACTTTGTTTTCATGTATATAACCTCAATTAGCTTTCACTATATCTGACAGTTGACAGGAACTCATCCGGTTCATCGGCTCCGGTTTTGATGAAATTGATCAATGTATACCAATGACAAAAGTATCAGTATAACAGACTGCCACTTTCTATAAAGAGTTTGAATTTTGGATATAGTAAACAACGAGTTGGGAAGAAAAAGAAAGTGTTATGCTGATAATGTTATCACTTTCCATCATGAATCAGTTGTGGTTAAACACCCTGCTGCTGTGGCAGACCTATTTGCCCATCATTTTGCAAATTCTGCTAAAACGGCTATTTCCACACACTTAAGTAAAAATATAACATTACCTTGTACAACCAGTACGAATGTCAATATTGTACACTCATTTGAGAATGGACCGATTATTGAAGCTGAAATTCATGCTGCATTGAGATTAATGAAAAATAAAAATTTGAGTGGATCAGATGGCATGTCAATACCAGTTGTTAAAGAAATATTTGACGTTATTGTATCTCCTCTTATTTATCTAATGAATTAATCCTACATGCTAGGCTACTTTCCAGAAGAGTTCAGGAAAGCCTTAGTCATTCCTCTTTTTAAAAAAGGAAATAGAAATGACCTGAATAACTACCGACAAATTTCATTACTTTTTTTCTCTTTCGAAATTGTATGAAAAAGTGTGGCTACTAGAATAGTGAATTATTTAGAGTCAAATAATATACTATGTAATCATCAACATGGATTTAGGAAAGATCGTTCCATAGAAACCGCTGCCTATGATTATCTCAATAACATATACTATGAAGTTGATGCCAATAGTTTTGTAATTAGTATTTTAACACGTCATGGTGGTATGTTTAGGATACCCTCGCACAAATCAAATAAATTTAAAAATTCTCCAATATACAATGCTATCTCACTTTACAATAAATTACCTGATTCAATCAAGGAGTCAAAATCATATAAAATCTTTAAGAATGATACAAAACTTTTCTTAATAAAAAAATGTTTTTATAGTTCAAAAGACTATTGGAGTGATAATTCCTAGAAATAATTCCCAATGTAATTTATATATGCATTTATTTTTAAATTTTAACATTTATATATTAGGTGCCGTGTTTTATGTTTTTATATTTTATTTTTATTCTTCAATTTGTTATTCAAGTATGACTAACTATTATTTTTATTCTCAATGTGTATATAACATATATTACAATTATTGACTTACCATATGTACATCATGTACCGATAATGGTTAACAAAATCATTATTATTATTATTACGTTCAGTAGGAAAGTTAAAAACTTATAACTGGACAAATGTCCAGTCATAAGGAATATTTAGAGAATACTTTCACAGAAGAATACTAAGATTATTTAATTATTTTACATGTGTATCTTTTTATATGCAAATATTGATTTAAATTCTTTTATGCATGAGTGACGCACTGTAAAACGTATGTTTTTTATTTCATTTTATTAATCATTGACCTACCATATATGCACAATGTATCACCAATGGTGAATAAATATTATTATTATTATGAAATGGATAAGTTGAATACCGGTGAATGAAGGAACAGTCTGATATAAGTCCAATTAAATCGATGAGTTGTTCATTGAAATAGGAACCCATGTAACTCTACTGAGACCCTAGTAATGACTGAATATAAACAAATTTGCAATCTTGATATGTGTAATTACTTACAGAAGAGGTTATCTGAGCCGGAGTCTGCGGCGATGCTGAAAACTCTGGCCACCACAGTTGCCTACTTACACGAAAACGGAGTCGTTCACAGAGATTTGAAACCAGCGAATATTCTGTTCGCCTCTGAAGATTGGGCTCTGGATTCTGTTACAATCTGTGATATGGGTTTCGCCAAACAGGTAGGACGTACGCAGATATTATTAATCAATTTGAATTTTTGTATTTATATATAGAGCAGTTCATTGCATCTCAACCACATCATAACACGAAAAAAGTTCAAGCAATTTATCAAGTCATGAATTAAATAAATCAAATAAATTGATAGCCCTAAAAGTCACTAATCAATATATTTATGGTCACTCGGTCACAACTAGATTTCTAGCATGATTATAATCATTAACAATTGAGATAATAAATTTTTGCAGTTGTTCATAACTCTTAGAAAATGAAACTTTTCTGGTGCTGTCATTTGGATGATCTTTTATAACCGTTCTTTTTTAGTTAAGGGCGGAAAACGGCCTATTGATGACACCGTGTTATACTGCCAATTTCGTGGCTCCCGAAGTTTTAAAACGCCAAGGTTATGACGCAGCCTGCGATATTTGGTCTCTAGGGGTAATTCTGTACATAATGCTCTCTGGAAGGTGTCCTTTCAACACGACGGCCAGCAATAGTCCCCAGAAGATCCTGCAAAGGATAAGCTCGGGAAAACTGGATTTACAGGTAAATTTCTTCCTGTTTTGATAGTAATATATGATTGCTGAAGATCAGTTTTGTGGAAAATACGTACTTTATTGGCTGCGTCTTTCAACTTTTCCCAGCAAAAAATTTAGTATTCATTAAAAAAGGTAAGGAAATGAAAAAATCCAAGTTAACTATCGGGTCAGTGGTCTCACGTTGGGCGCCAAATTTGAATGACATTCCTATCATTTGTGAATTAAGTAGTTTTCATAAAAGAGCTCTGAAACAACGCATTTTAAACTTATCATTTCAACCTTTTTCTTTAAAAAATTATTTAAATACTTTAAACAGAGGAATGAAATGATGCTTTCAACATTTAAAGGGGTTCGTTTCTATCGCACCATTTGGCAACATCGGACAATGAAAATAAAGGACAATGAATCTGTTACCTGTATGAGACAAACAAAGATGACATATTTCAGAGGCGTGCTGTTCTGTTTACTTATGTTCCGAGTTCCGAAGCAACTTATCCCATCATTGCTAACTCCATAGTCGAAGTCAAGCTTCGATAACGACCTCCAACGAGATTCGTCCCGTCTTTCATTGCAGCTTCCACTGCATGGCAAGTAGTTGAAAACCAGAGCCCAAACAGCCTAGAACCACTGATGAGACCTATGGCGGATCGAAACAGTGCCGTTTCATGTTGTGCTTGAGCTCTGCCTTACAACTAGTTGTCTTACAGTGAAAGACAGGACGGATCTCGTTGGCAATCGATATTGAATCTTGGCTATGCAACTGACCGCCTTGGGGTGCCTCGTTTGTTTTTGATATTCGTGGATTGAGTTCTATGTTGATCCTATAGATGGCATATTTGTAAGGGGAGATGTCATCGCACTTACTTATAAATTAATTGAGTCAATTTTTTTCTCAACTGAGGTTGAGAAATGAACTGCAAACAGATTCACAATTTCCTGTTTGTCAGAATTTTTGTGTTGTTCATATACATCAAATTTTTTCACTTTTAGAGTGGGCGCTGGTCAGGAGTATCAAGCGATGCCAAAATGCTAGTCACCGACATGCTCCATACCTCGCCCCAAAGGAGGCCGACCGCTGCGCAAATAGTGAAAAATAATTGGGTGTGCACGCAAACGATGTTATTTTACCAATCACGGACTGCTCCAGTGGGAAACAGCCAGAACCGCGACGTCCACTCGATGAGCGAGTCGCACCTCAAAGAGACCGTCGAGGCTACTTTCCGGGCTATCGCCACTTCCCCGCAGATAGCTCACTTGGGACCTGTGGCAATGTCGGAGCTCGCCCGGAGACGGTTTAAAGACAAGGCGCTGACGAGGGTGCGAAACGAGGCAGGAGGAGAGTACTGAATAAAGGAAGTTGAGGAGGAGAAGTTTTCGCCAGATGGTTTGAGGAGGTTTATAGAGGTTAATAAAAAATGATGTGATAAAACTAATATTTTTACCGTTGGCGAGGATATCACAAATATTTATTATTGTTAATAATAATTTCTTCCAGTAAGCAAATTTTTTATCATGGGTGTACTTGTCTGTGTGTTTATATTTTTGTTACTCTGTTTGTTTTCCTCTTTACATTTCTGAAACAACATTTTTCCAGAATTCAATTGTTTCTGGAATTATTGGAATGTTGAACATTCCTGTTGGAATTAAAGATGAACTATGCTCTCTGACTTTACATTGAATTGTTATATGATCACCGAAAAAATCGAATTGAGACAGATATGATAAACAAACGAGGTAATTCTTTCAATATACTAATTTTGGCACACCCTTGTATATCAAACTCTAACTTGTCATGCTATTATTTTGAATTATAGAGGTTAAGGTGTTAGCACTAATGAACCACTCAGAAGTTGCCAATCGTAACGTTAGTCAATTGAAAAATATTGTCTACAACTGTTGAGCAGAAGTGATAACTCACTTGTGACTTTTTCTTTGACATTGGTAACATTATAAGAATCAAGTGGCTTATCATTGGTGAAATAATTGTTAAATCCTCCCCATTAATCGTTTGAATTGTCTTCAGCACTTGATGTATTGGACGTTCTATCAAAATCACCTAAAGTCTTTCACTTTCATTTCAAAAGAAAGAGTGGTACTGTGGTCAAGTGGTTCTGAAAAGATAACTCGTTCATAACTTATTTCAACCATGTAGTGACTTTAGTGACCTGCTTCCAACAAATGTAACATCATATAATAATCTAGTTTTTTTATAATTGAATTGTGATTATAATTCGATAGTGACTTCGAACATAAATATACCAGTTTAATGCGACACCTCAATAGAAAAATGAGGTAAAATTACACTGTAGTGACTTATGAGAATTTCATTTCTCAGAAGCGTAACCACCACATTTTCACTGTATAACTTTAAAGTTCACTAGTGACTTCATGATATCCAATAATTATTATAGTCACTTGAGTCACTTGTTATTAGTGGCTTATGATAACACCAAGTGACCTTGTGATAATAGCACCAAGTGACTTCATTCAATTGAAATACATATATTGAGTTGGCTACTATTATGTTACCTCCACATAGTCTTTGAAATGGCTAAATTGTGCAGTTTTCTCATTGTGGACAGCCAGTGATTTCTTGGGAAACTTAAAATGAGTTATATATGAGAAATAAATACTGCAAGTGAGTTCAATAAACTATTTAATAATTTTCATTTATATTTTATTCATTGTTTGTTGGTTGTTTAGTTGTCAACTCACTTATAACTAGGAAATGTCTAATCAAGTATCAAAATAAATTGAGTATGAAACTTGTAATCATTATGCCCTGTTGACAATCACTACTTTTATGAAAAAAGATCTGTCATGTAATTTCTAGGCAAGTAAAAACGTATACACCTCAGAGGTGACTTATCATTCACACATATTTGCTTATTATGATTCTTAATTCACTAAAAACTACATATAAACCACCACATATAAACCACTTTAATGGTTTTCATTATATTAATCTGCAAGTCACTATTAGTGACTTGAATTCACAATTTCCTTCACTTCAACGATATTTTAATACGTTTTTCAATATTTTATTTTCATTTAATCCTAAGTTTTCCATTACACATTCTTCATTTGTCAGTGTCAAAAAATAATTTTCATGAGTAGATGATATACGAGGGTTTACCATAAATTGTGGAAGTTCATTTGATTCTTGAATTTTTGAAACTGAAATAGATAGTATGTTATTGGGTGTGGAGATTTCGGTATGAATCTATATATGTCATTTGCTTAATCTGGTCAACCGTATGAAATATTAGTTTTATTCAAAAATTATTTTTGTTCTTCAGACTCTAAGAGTTGAAAACTTCTTTGAAACTCCATGGAAGTATATAGTAACTTGATATTATTCAATGATTTGGGGTGTGTTACAATGAAGTACCAATGAAAGTTTAGAATTGATGATTGGGATAGAAAAATGTCTCATATTTTGATACCGTTATAATAATCCAAAGTTTTCTGTCAAGAACACCCTCTGTTCCAAGTAATTGGAAAATCATCAGTATTATTTAAACTCCTAATATAAAAGAATCATGCAGACTAACTCGGAAAGAAAGCAGGTTTCTAGCTGTGAGATTTCATCGTGGTTGGAAATTTTGCTTGTGGCTTAAGAAAAATCACTCTTCTACTACTGATTTCATGAATTTTCAGCATGCACAATGTCTAAGTAGTTGAAAATACTTTTGCAGGAGATTCTCATATTAATTTTGAAGATTGTATCGAGACATTCATATCTCCCAACACAGATGGCAAATGACTGCCGGAAAACAACTACTTGCCTGGCCAATACCTCGCTGTATATTGAATTATATCCGACAGACATTTATGCAAGATACCTCACAGAGATTAGTCTCTCAGTCTCGCTGAAATTATTCGAGTATGTCACCAGTTTCGAGTATTACTTCTCGTCACTGCAAAGATCCGAACCAAACACCAGTGTACCTGGGACTCAATTCATTTCAACGCGATGTATGAAACCTTCGTCCAAGCTCCATCTCGTTCACGACATGGAGCTGTTACTAGTTAACAAACTTTCTCTTAGACGGATGTTTCATACATACAGTTGAGTAACACTGTTATTTGGGTCGGATTTTTCATGGATTGACGAGAGATAATACCTCGAAACCGGTTTGTAGGTGATCTACTCCATTGATTTCTCAGCATGGTCGTGCTGCTGGATGAATGAGAAACATCTGCAGCAGACTAAACTCTGTGCATAAATAACTGTTGGATAGAATTCAATATTCAGCGTGGTATTAGCCGGGGAAGTAGTTGTTTCTCAGCAGGAATTTACCAGAACCTACGGTGTAGATACGTTGAGAGAGATGAATTTTTCCAGATTTTATTTCGTGTCTATACAATATAGGCACGTCTGAAGAAGCTATTATATAGCGAAACACTTTTTTCGTTTTTGTAAAACTGTGCAGTGAAAATCTAACGATGAAGTGTTGCTTGAATACATCGTTCTTCACTTTTCGAGGCACCCTTTTTTTTACTGATCTGCTAAAGAATTTGCCCTCAGAGTATCATTATTTATGTTTTTTTGGCTCGGTTGATATCATTTTAAGTGTATGTGTGAAATTCGGTATTTTATGACACAACAAATAATAATTATTAATAATTCAAAGTCTGAAAACTGACAGTAGTTTGAAAAATTGAATCCAAGACAACCGTTAAATCAACTGTCATATAGTTATTATATTTCTGCAATCTCCGCTGGGAAATATCAGTAGTAGAAAAAATTCAAACATCACATATTATGTCTTGCTTATTTTGGCAATACCTTTCTCACGTTGGAGCCCAATTTAGTATGGTTCAAGTGAAACCGCCCTGAATTACCTTTACATGTGCCATAATAAGCATAATTTCCTTTGTAAGTATATCAGCAACGTGTCATTGCTTTACATTCTACAACTAAATCCTTTTTGGTTATTGTTATATTATTTTATCAAGTATTGCAATATTTCAGATGTAATATATTTTATTATTTTTTGAAACGTTTTTTTTTTATTTTTTTTAAACAGTGTTTTGATAAAGATGGATAAATTGTATAAATGCGATGTTTGAGAAAAGCGATATACAACTAAGGCATAGCAGAATTGAAGGAATGTGGTTTGACTTTTCAAATTATTTGAGAGGAAATTAACTGGATGTATATATTCAAAAAAGGAAATCTCAATAGTGATATCGGGATAGTTTTCCCGACAGTTGAGGTCATTCCATTGGAAGAAGAAAAACTATGTTTTGTCCAATCTTACAATTTGAATATTTTCAGTTCAAGTTCACTCTACAAGATAATAACCTAATGAACTCCTTACCTTTTTTGTATGTTTGGTATTTCTGAGTGATGTTTTTAAAAGCAATTTCGTCACTTGGACATATACCTAGGTACATATTTGGAAATATTTTCAAACCAATAGATATGATGCCACCATTCTAGCTATTGTTATATGAAATAAAAATAATTCTGGATGTTGCTAACATACATACTTGAGATTTCCAACCCAAATTTTCTATTGTATCGTCATCATTTGTAAAATTGGTCAGTGAAGGCGTTCATCAAAAAAATTATTATTGTTCTCACACTAAAATTGGCTCTCTATAATAGGGAAATGGATTGAATACTACTGGAGTTTTTTATCCCAACACCAAACCGTTATTTTTTTAACACCTTGACACGTGTTTCGATCACCAGGTGATCATCTTCAAGAGGAAGAATAAACATGTCGAGGTGTTAAAAATAGCGGTTTCGTGTTGGGATAAAACTCCAGTAATATTCATTATTACACCAAAGATTCCAAACAGTGCAAGTATGTGTAAAGATGAATTGTCAAATGTGGAAATATTATTCATCTTATAAGTATTTGTTTGTGTCGAACCTATTTTCCAGTGTTTTTTGGCCGTGGTCTGCAGGTTTTAATGCCTGACGTTTCGTCTACTACTGCGGTAGACATCATCGAAGGCGATGAGGTAACGATCGAAGCGCTGCAATGCTGAAATTTCTTTCAGTTTTTATATTATCATAGAAGGGCATGGCTTCGTTTCTCTCAAGTGGATCACCTGACCTTGTTCGTCTACAATTAAGGAAAGGTAGCCAGATTTTATTATTGTTCATTGGATCTGCCTTCTAATTGAAATTATCCCCGTGTTTCTTCTGAACTCCTATTGTCTCTATATATTCTTGGAAAGTAATAACTGTATCTCCGAATGAGATAAAGTGAGTGCCTTCTTTGTTGAGAGCATGTTTCGCTACAGTTCATTTGTCAGTTTGACCTATGCACACCATTTCATGTAATCGATGTTAAGGTTGTTCAAAGATCGTCACTGTTATGGTTGTCAGAATTGGCCAGATACTCCTGGTAAAAGTTCATGAAAAAACCAGGACAGTACTATCGATACGAGTTTTCAGTGCTAGTTTTTTCATGATTTTACGAGCGGTCCTCTACACGCCGTTCTTGAAGTATTTCTGAAGGACTCACAGATCAGTCCACTATGTCGACAGGGCTGATTATGGTAAGGTCTAATAGCTGTGACTTCACAAGCTTACAACATAGCTAGCCTGATTACTTGTTTGTATATCAGGAGCTTGTTGTCAACACTAAGTTTGGAATTTTGTGCAATGAAAGGGTAGTTGCGTTTTATCGCCGCTCCTGCTCTCTGAATTGCTAAACTTATATGCTCTCGGAATCCGGTAAACTGCGGGTGTTAAAGACCTTCTGGGGTTCTTAGTGAGCGTAGTCTTTCTCTGATAGTTTTCGTTGTGCTAAATATTAGTTTCACGCCGTGTTCTTCTAAAATTATCTCAATCCTGTCTGTAAAATCCGGTCTAAAATCTCATAATCTCATCTCTTATTGAAACTGTTCACACAGATGCACCTGAAAATTCTACAGATATACAGAACGACCGACAGTTCTAATGCAGGCTGTGTTCCATTTCGAAGTGAAGTTAACATTTGTTGAGCTGTTGATGTAGAAGTTTCACTCGTAACTGTACGCATTTCAGAAAAAAATATCAAGTTATTTGTCACCAGAGTGACTGATCCAAAGGCATATGACAGATGATTTTTCAGGAACTTTGGGCTATTAGTAATCATATTTCAGGTAATTTAATTGTGAAATGTTGGATAGACTGCACACGCCGACTTTGAAAAAAAAATTATGTACATACTTTGATACGTAGGTTACGGATCCCAAAGAGAATTTGTGCTCTCCCTTATTTTCAGAGTTATAGCCCTCCAAAGTTCCGAACCTTTTTAGCCCTCTTTCACCATCACACCTTACATCATTTTCTTTGATACGTTTCAGTTCAATAATCAACATTTTTCATATTAAAAACTTGATTTAATAATGAATTCGTCTTCTTATGACATCTCTACTTTTCAAAGTTGAGTTATACTAAGATTATATAATAGTGACTTTTCGGAAAAATGCTTTTTGTTGATAAAAAAAGTTTTTGTAGACAAAATGTTGACTATTAAACCAAATAGTGTTAAAGAAAGTGAAATGAAATGTAGCGAATGAATTCTTGTGATTCTATAGTAGAGATTAAATGAATAGAAGTTTAGCCGGATGTTCGGCCAACCTTGCATCCGGATATTCGGCCGCCGATTAGGATATTTTTGTTGATGAGCTAAGTTAACAATGATTTCATTCATT